CTTACATCTTTCTAGTCAGATATCATTTTAATATTATCACTTAGGTTTCATCTTTGTTCTTATATATTTTTCTGTTTTGAAAAAATAAACAAAATGACTTGGACTTAGAGATGTCAACTTCTAAAAATATTTTGATAGATGGATTTTGGTTAGTAATCCAATCCAAGGCGAGCATTTTGTCCTATTTTAAATTCGTCAGGGAGATTTGCCTACATTCCAATAAGTTATTGAGACTAGGATGGTAACTAACTTTACAATTATTGCGTTTACTTTGAAACCAAAATATGGTCTATCCATTTAGTTGTGTGTATTTATATCATCGAGCAAAAGACCAATTTAATGTCATTGCATTTTATTATTTATACTGAACAGATTTGTAGGGACATTTTTATTTTGATATGCTAAATAAACAAACAGAATTTAAAGAATAAGGATTTCATGATTCATATAATGTTGAATTATGTCTAGTGATGATACAAAGCCAAATCTCTGTGATAAATTTTGGAATATTATGCATTCTCATTAAGATTATCAGCACAAGATAATGATTTCACATGCGGCAGCACAAAATATCTCCCCTCCCAATTCGTTATTTGTGTGAAGCGATGAACACAATGCAGATGATTCAAAAGTGATATCCTCTGAATGTATTATTTTCAAAGGTAATATGTAAAAGGGATTTATTCGGATAGATTATAAAATTTATTCTCAACTTCCGTTTTAAATAGCTCAAAACTAGCAAGAGATTTACAACAACAACCCCAAAAAATGTGAAAGGAACTTCAATTTTCATCAACACATAAGTCTCATCCTTTACTGTAAACTGTAGCTATCTCTATGATTTGAGTTTAATAGTATCTATAACTCACAGGAAGTAATAAAACTAAGGTAGACTGATGAGTGTTAATAGTGAAATTCTTGACCAAATAATTAAGGTCAGATGGTGGAGAAGATTTGTAGCTCAGGTGGGTGATTTTGATGTTGGTTTGTTCTCTGAGCTGGGTGGTTTGGTCGTGGAGCTTTCATCGTCCTTCTGAACGACATCATCAGCACAAACTTCGGGTAGAAGTGAAGTGTTTGAATTTCTCCACATGTGATTCACAGCTTGTCCTCTGCACCTCGATGTTGATTGATATTGAAATTGATTGATATTGAAATCAATCCAATCTATCAACCAATCAAGAAAATTATGCAAGAAGATAGGAACAAAAATCAAACCAATAGGAGATACAACCAAAACAAAGAAATAAACAATGACAGATTTAAGGTCAATAAGAACCAATCAACATCGAGGTGCAGAGGACAAGCTGTGAATCACATGTGGAGAAATTCAAACACTTCACTTCTACCCGAAGTTTGTGCTGATGATGTCGTTCAGAAGGACGATGAAAGCTCCACGACCAAACCACCCAGCTCAGAGAACAAACCAACATCAAAATTAAGGTCAGAGGATGAAATGTTCAGTAACAAATGATTAAATAATATAGTTGAAATCATCAGTCAATTGAAGCTAGACCACCCTCATGATTTCAGCTATATAAAATTACTTTAAAAATCTCCACAAAACCCCCCTCTGGTTCAATAATAGATCGAATTATTATTATTATTATTATTATTATTATTATTAATCAAGTACATATGGAACTAAATGGTTTAAGTTACTCATGATTACTTTTCATTTATCTAAATAAGAAAAAAAGGTGAATATAATTTATGTATTAATCAAATGTTTCAACATGTCATCTAAATAAAAGTGATGACTATTCATCAGTTAACTGTGGCACAGAAACAACATACATTGAATAAATAGTTGAATATAAATATTGACACGAAATTACAATACATATATTATAATATAAATAATGTTGATAAGTTAATTCACAATAGGCGCATGTATATCATTATAATGACAATTAGTTTGCTTGAAAGTCAACTAACTCAATAAACAATAGGTTTAAGTCAATTATGGTTAACATGTATATATACTCAATTATCACTATAGGAAGGTTTGTGGACATTATTGAATGTTATCGTGATCACAAATCAATCTGAATTAGATAACTATTGGTGTCAAAAAACCACTGAACAGCTATTTCTATTTAGTATGGGATTCTACAACATTACGTATCCACGACCCCACTAGTTACTGAACAGAAGTGCTTACATAAATGCTTATGTAAGTAGATAAGTTCAAGTTGATACAATAAATTACATCTTAACTTGTATAATATTTATCATTAGATCTCAGGAGAAATTGGGTGTCAAGTATGTAGGGGACATTAGGTGTGGAAATTACGTTTGAAATGATCTCAGTGATTAATATTTAAATAATCATGACGTCTCATTCAGGACTCTAGTACAAGATTCATCAAGGAAGTGATCGAAGTTCAAATAAGGTCTATAACAAGTCGTTAACAAACATTTATAAATACACGTCCAGCAGATGATTTTGTGTATAGTAAGAATCTGAGTCATTTAGTGTGAAATGCAGTCATAATGTTGCCTATGAAAGTGTACGAATTTATACATTATCACCACCAAAATATAGCGAACAAATGAAACATTCGTTTAAGGTCATATAACTCGTATTTACTGGCGGATAAGGGTTAAGTGCTTAAAATAGGTATGTTGCAAAAATCGTGTCAAAATGTTATAGAACAGTATGTGAAATGATACATTGTCAAAATCAAACTGTTGATTTACCTCATATACATCTTTAACAGGTCAACTTTCATACTAAGATTACTAATCTGTAAGTGAAAAGATACATTGTCAAAACCAATGTCAAACATTGTACTAATTATTATTTGCTTATGTTTTTTAACTGTTGCACATAGTTCTCCACAATTGATTTGTATCAGCCTCAAAGAGTTTTAGCTAAAATCACAGTTTAAGATACATCAACACATACTGATTTCCATTAAGAAATCAACCGGTTAACCTTTGCTTTCCTTTTTTATTATTTTAGATAACCTGGATCTAATTTTTAGTTTAATCACTTATTATGGAGCATTCGAAAGTGGTCATAAGCCCGAAACTGGAAATTTTACTTAGCATCTCATAACAGTTTGCGAGTAATTCATCTGTTCCGTGTCAGTCCTCTGTTTATATAACGAAATTTGTCAAACCAAATTGACCAGTCAGGAACTTTAAATGTAATAATTTTGTAAGAATAATCAACAAAGCAGTAAACACTTCACTAACTTAAATCTATCTTGGAGTTATTATTATGTCTTATGTAGAACAACTTGTTCTTTACATTAATTAATACTACTTAGAAAGCCACCAGCAGTGTTTCAGTTTACTTGTACCTACCAATGCAGTTACATTAATAGAACAGAAAGAACGTTACTGAACATATATATCAGTGCAACTTCTATGTTCAAACTTATATGCAGTTCTTTGTCCTAGTAACAGAATTCCTTACTATTTTTCCTCATTTCGGGTTACATTATTTTTCAGTTCAACTCCTCACTATTTCATACTATAATTTTGTTTAAATCAATATGAACCTAAATGACTTAACTCCTTATTTATAAATACTCGCAAACTAATACCTAATATAGTCAGTAAATTAATAGGATGAATGATGCTCGTTTCTAACTTATAATCAATTTATTATTTAGAAACTAGAATCCTAGACTTTTATCGCATCAAAACGTAATACAGGTAGTCTTTATCAGTATGGAGTTTTCGTGATTGTTGAGTTTTTGCTAAAATCGTAAATCGATCAATGTTAGACCAATGTTGGAAGTTTGGAAACACTAGATCACCACTTCATTCTACCATGGGACTTCTTAAGTGTGCATCCACGACACCTCATACGGGACTCGAATCCGGGATATTCAGTCTCTCACAAACACTCAACCTCCAGACCATCGAACCTGCATCCAATGGTGTTTTTGTTTAACCTCAACCAATCCAGGATATTGCACCATCATCTTCCATTGTGTTTGGTGAGTAACTACCTCATATCCATCACAGATTAGCTAGACTGGTCATGGTTTCTCATTAGAACTCCCAGAATTATCTCTCGATAATAGTCACTAGTGAGGACATGATAATTATCAGCATTTATTCAAAAGTCATGAGAATAAGTATTATTATTATCATCATTATCATTATTACTAGTACTGTGGTGTGTGTTACTTATATCCACATAAGTAGTGTATGGTGATGGTCAGGCATAGAATGCATTTTCGCAGAAGATTGATAAACAAAGAACATGAAGGAAGTGCATTCGGTATGAAAATGTATGAACAATGAAATCAATGATTAATTTATATTTGCAGAAGGAACAGCCAAGATTAAGACAATTGATTGGTAGTTTGTAAATTAACTGTTTACTGTATGATTATCAGATTTAGTGAGATAGTTTGCAATTTGTGCTTAAATACATTCGACTGTCTCCACTTGTCTGTTCTGTTCACTACAGTACTATTATCAATAATAATAATAATAATAATAATAATAATAATAATAATAATAAATTGAATATAATTCTCAAATAATAAGATATGTATTCTAAACCAATATAAACAATAACATTATTTTAACACTATTAAATTACGTTACTAATATGAATGAATTTCATTATTCCATTAGTTTTATATATATAAATTTACAATTAAAGATATGTAACTATGTTTGATAATATGAAATATAATTAGAATACAACATAGTTAGTATTGTATTAATCTTTATAAATATGAAATAAATCTTATTATTTATATTTTAATTTTTTATTTTTATAATTTATGTAATAACATATCACAGTGTTGATCTTCTTTTTTTCGGGGGGGGGGTAAATTAAAGTAGTTTCTATGTAATAATACCGGATTAAATTAATTCGTTCAACGATTGATAAACTGAAATAATGGTAATATTGTCAATTTAATTTGTCATAGAAACAAATGAATCGATCATTTTCATATAATTACTGTTTATGTTGGTTAATTACTATTGTGATGTTTCTATTCTTTTCTTGTTTTTTTTTTGTTTTAATGGGATAGTGATGATGTTGATGATAAAATACATTCAATACTGAATGGTGAATCAGTAGATTTACTTAAATTTATGTTATTATTATCAAAACAACTTTTTAAGGTGTTGTTTTGGGTTTTGTGGACTTTATCAACATTTTGCTGAGAAAAAGATTGTCTTGAAAAATTTATACAATGATTGGTAATCGAGTTATCAGTATGCAATTGGCTGTTCCACAAGTTAACGTCTTCTGCTGATTGATTAGATTGAATGTTAGGCCAAATTGAATGAGGATGTACAGCTATACTATTATTAAATCTTATATTGGACTGTTTGCAAAGGGATTGAAATTCTGTAGATAAATTCAAGGAATTTTCTGAAGTAGTGATGTTTGGAAATAGTAGATTTTGTCTGAATTTATCGATATGTTTCGTAGATGGTGTTAAATTCAATGGTAGCTTGTCATTTAAGACAGAATTTTCGCAGTCATTGTGTTGAAAATTCAAGGATTTCGGGTTTTTCTGTGTTGTTCTAGATGAAACAAGTTTAGAGGTGTGATTTTGTTTAATTACTGTCTGTTTCTTTTTCAAAGATTGTATTCTTTTCTCCATCATTTTTCGTCTTCTCGCTTCAAGGCGACTTGCTTCGCGTTTAAGCAATTCATTTGGATCGATTGGTTCACCTGAACATGTAAGGAGTTGAGCATTATGAGCTGGTCTTCCAGGTCCTGTGTTAAATTTAGAAGAAAATACTTAGTAAACATATCATAAATTAAATTTGTTTGTAGCATATTACAAAACTCAATTATTTTCGGTTAATTTTGTTAGATGATTAATCGTCAGTTTGCCAGATTGCATCATACTTTATCTGCTGTTTCGTTTAAGATGAAATATTGACAATTATCTATTTGTAGGGTAATATTGGTTTCAGTCCTTATTTTAGTAAAGGATAATTAATTCAGTTGTTTCCTGTATTCTGAAGTTTGTCGAATTTGCATCTATGGGAAAGTTAAAATTGGTATATTTACAACTTCGATAAAGTCTCACTAACCACCGTTTTATACACTAAAAGATGACATGACATTGATTTATTTAGACCTTTATTTGATTGATTGCACCTTGAGTTCTTGCTTTGTTCATTTGTAATATTTAAACTTGGGTTAATTTGACCCAGCTATTTATTCTTTGAAGTGGCTTACACTAAGTCACGAAACGTCAGAAAATTAAAAAAAATTTCTACTGATTAGGATATTACAAACGTATTATTTTTATTTATAACAATCTATCCAATGCTCAAGTTATTTGAAGTTGTCAGAACAAACCTCAGTAATGACACCCAAAAGCTTTCCTGTTCCCAAACTGTAAATGATAAACAATACATCCGTAGAGTATATAAATTCATATAACAGATGCTTAGTTTCAGGGAAACGAAAAATCTACTTAGAACGAAACCTTTCTGGAATCCTAGTGATTTAAAACAATTGTCTTATGACTGGAGGGAGTTGGCTTACTTAACCTTGATTAACATATGTTTCGTGCTAGTTAGGGCTCGTCAGTAAGGTATGCCTGGAATCTTGAGAAGACTGATGTTTAATGATGGATTCAAACCCTCATCACCCAGTTTCACAGTTTGAGACGTTCTTTGATCTATTCAAGCCGTAACTGACGTACTGTAGAACTGAGATATTTACAAATGGCTAATCACTAACTAGTGATCAGTGTTGGTTAGGTTAGTAACCATATAACAACTTAATTGATAGAAGCTCATCAGTTCCAAAGGATAAGACAAATAAGGCATTGGTCATTACTCAGATGTCAATCTATCATAGATCATGAATTACTTATCATTTCATTAAACTATAGTCAATTAGAATTAATACTAAAGAACCAACTATTCTACCAATATCAATTTGTCAAAAGTAATAACACTCAGATATTTGAACTGTTCGTCATTCCTGTATAATAAAAAATTTTCAAATATTATAGGTAGAATAAAGAATTAAAGATTATTCAAACATATATAGCCTTTAACCTATAACATCTTATTAATTGTTTAAATATTTAATTAATATTTAGGTCAATCTAGTAATCTACCTTTCCGTGTATGTTCTCGTTTACGCCATTTAGCCCTTCTATTTTGAAACCAAACCTTTGAAAACAAAAAAAGGAAAGATATGAAAATTTATTTGTGACATATAATGTATGGGTTTGGAATGAGAAGATATAATAATTGTTAGAAGTTTATATATAAATATCCTATATGTCATTACTGAATTTGCAATAACGAGTCTAAAGTAAAACTAACTAAGTGCTTACATTTTGAATGTAAACTTTACACGGATCTTCCATGAAATCCTTCTCAATACGTGAAAAAGTGAAAATAATACTAAAAATTATGTTGAACCAAATTACCCCTTGTTGGTGATACGCAAACGATTCACATTTGTTAATAAATCAGTTCTTATCATCAATCAAGTGGATCTCCAGTGTTGCTTGAAGTATAAGGGTAATTAACTCTTCCTTGTTGTCCACATCATAGAGGGATATTTCTTTTTGAGGGGTCTAGAATGGGAGTTGAGTTAAAGTTGGTCATAGAGACCTGGAAGCGTGACAGCATGGCTCAAGGGCAGCTGCATGAGGTTGGCTAGACATGACCTTTTCGAGAGAAGTCTTGATTGCCTTGGTTCTGTACTTTAAAGGCCGTAGTGACCGAGACTGAAATCTGTCGGGTTAAGTAAGATGTGACATTTTAGGCCCGACCTTTCCTAACCTCTTTCTTTCTGTTGTGAGAAAGCAGAATCCTTGTGGACGATGGTTATCTAATAGAATACTTTACTCCCGTTACACTCTTGTACAGACATCAGTACAATTTCTGCTTTGTACCCTGAATTACTGTCTTTAGTCTTGTCGTTTTTCAACGGACTTGCATAACAAAGTAAAACCTAAAACAACGGGTTTTCCAGACAACGTAGCTCGACCAAGTCAATACCAACAGCAGAGCCAGCTACTACATCAGAGGTATATATATATAGTTTCTGATAAATAATAATCTCAAACTGTTGCGAAAGCCCTTTGATTTTAATGTTTATCGCTGTATAAAATCATAGCAACATAAATTATAATATAAAATATATCTATCATTGAAAAGCATGTTGGTTGAAGTTATTTTTTTAAAGAATGTGATGTATTGAGCTTGACATGCATATTACATAACATAACTTGATAAGATAATGACAAAAGGCAACCAATTTATAATGTATAGCGAAATGAATATCGTGTTAATTTTGGAGACATATCAGGTGACTTCCATAAATTTTGATGTTTGTTATTTTCAGTTACTTTAAACTATAAAACAGTCCAGAGAAATAAATTTCAACATAATGGTGTTCACTATTCAAAAAAATGAAATTTCTGTTTGTTAAATCGCAAACTTTATGATTAATGGAGGCATTAAAAAACTATTCAAAATAAAGTTAGCTGGTCAATTCATAACTGAGTATAATTCCTATATTGAAATCCCCGATAACTCTCTTTGATTATAATGGATAATCCTTGCATGTGTATATATGTATGCTACCACACAAAGGTCAGAACGAATTGGTTGAGATTCGCCTGATAACTGTGATCAATGGTTGGACTCATAGTATAACATTCCTTAGAATCGATATCAATAGCCCAGATGTATTTCTTCCTTATCTTCTTCTAGATCTTGAGTTCTAGTGTTTCTACATAGACAATTTTTTTATTTCGTTCACGTGAACCAAATTGTCACATTGTCAATGCTTCTTCAATTATTATAACTGTCTTACTGATTGTGATGATTTGATATGTCTGTGATGACTTGATATGTGAGTTTAGACTAAAGTACATTTGTCCCACGCATAATCATATAACCTTTGAACAAATATGTCAATAAAACGCAAAAACAAAAAAATCCACTTAATCGGCTTACTTGAATACGGGATTCTGGTAAACCTAAACGTTGTGCCAACTCTTCTCTTACAATCATGCTTGGATAATGACTAACACGGAAGACTAATTCTAATTCAGTCAACTGTTGTCCTGAAAAATTAGTTCGTGTTCGTCGTCGGCGTTTATTATTGTCATTTTCATTACTATCATTCTCATCTTCTTCCTCTTCATCATCGTCATCGGTATCCTCTATTTCATCATCATTATCATACTGATTATCACTACCATCTGTATCATTTACATAAATGCCAGCATTTGATTTAGTTCCAGATATCGAAACATTAGTCTTTTCATTACACAATTGATCAGAAACAATATTATTTCCTTCAACATATCCATTACTTTCAATATTGTTATTACTATTGTTTACTTGATAATTATAATGTTCTGAATGTTGTAATTCACTATTTAATAAAGATGTTTGACATGATTGTTTTTCTGCTTCCTCTTCTCCTCCTCCTTCTTCTTCTTCTTCTTCTTCTTCTTCTTCTTCCTCCTCCTCCTCCTTCTGTTTCACTCTCTTATCTGAAGTCATTTTATTAAATTTGTATAAAACGTCTTTCGTTTTATTTTTATGCTTTATTGATCTAGAATTTAATTTTGTGCATAAATTTGTTACGAAATTTGTTGATAAGTCTTTAGTGTTATTACAGATATTTGTTAGACTCTTCTGTGAGTTTAGTTTTAGATGATCTGATAAACAGATGTTTCCTTGTTTATCTATATTAGGGAAATAAAAGAAGGGAATTCATTGTAAAGACTTACTTAATTAGAAATTAATGTATAGAGACAATAATTCGTTTACTAATCTTATAAATGGCAACATTTCAAATCCAGAAGTTCATAACACAATAACATGAGTGAACACCAACTCTGAGATGCAGGTACATCCAGCTGACGAGTCCCGAATAGGGCAAAACGCGTGTCCTGGACTTCACCACCAGCCACTAGCCATCTTTGCTTATAATGCTTGTGAATTAAGGCTATATCGATGCAATACGCACGATATACTTATATGCCAATAAGAGACTGATCAATTGCAGTCCTAAACATCAATGAGAAGATTCAAACAAACAATACTGAGTGAATTTACAATAACATGAGGTTGTTGTAAAAACTGAACAATTTTTTTCTAAAGAATATATAACATCAACTAATCGGAAATGTAATATGTATGTTTGATCACACAAAACTCATAAAGGTGTCAGTAGAAATAAGATGAATGATTGAATTTAAATAATGGGTATTTTATAAGATAGATGACAGATATAATAAGCTAAAACTCGGTTAGGTTTTTATGTCACTACAATTGTTTTATTTTTATTCGAAGTAATGTGGAATAGCTGGAAGATAATCATAATCAAGTATAAATCCTTTTTTTCTCCGAGATAATTTATGGAAAGGTTTGTGGTATCTGAGGATGGTTTTTATTACAAGCAGAAAAAATTGAAGAATCGTCGAAAACTAATAAGTACTAGGTAGCTGTACCGTTCTAATTTGAAAATCGTCAGAATTCGACCCACACTGGATTGTGTTCAGAACTTTGTGATCATCATTAGTTCAGTTTGACTTTCAGACTGAACTACCTTGGGAGCAGAGAATAAAAAAACTATCTTATTGTCATTATTAGTTAGCAAGTGAAGAGAGGTGATTATAACAGGAAGCTCTTTATCTAATTTATCCGATTCGGCTAACTCCAAAAGGTACATAAGGGAATACATGAATAACCTGACCGAAACTCACAAAGAATGGGAAAATTACAATCATACCAAGCTAGAGCATTGAAGTAGAACAAATGGAAGACGAGGAACACGTTAAAATCACAATGATTTTGGAGTAGAAGCGAAGGTGACAGTAATTTATAGAAGACTATCAATGAAAACCTGGTCTACCATCAATCGATTCATGATCTCAATCAAAAACTTAAGAACCTCCACAAACCCATACTGATAAACATAACTCTGTTGGCCGTTACTCAATTTTCATAAAAATATAGAGTTCATACTTTTTTGAAAACAAGAACACAGTTAATGCAGTCAATCATTGGAATTTGTCATATCTGAGTTATTTACATTGGTATTTACTGCTTTGTTTAAGTTCAATAAATAAGTCAATTAGTAGCTGACTAGTGATTTCTCAGTACTGATCAGTTACCTTAATTTAAGTCATAAATAAAGTACGTTGGCATCTATATAGAAGCATAAAAATCACAAATACATCTTCTTAAAACGTATTAGGAAGCATAGAATACATTCGTGAACGAATGACACTCATCTAGCTTAGTAATCATACTGAATCTATTAATTGATAGATTATATATTCTGTAAGTCATTCCCACAAAAATGGATGAAATAGTTCAAGTGGCAATTTCAGCAATACCATCTTTGTGTTTCACTCGAGAGGAATGAAATATATACTGATATTTCGTATACATTACAATGTGACTAGCATAAATAAGAATTTGTTCAACGTTTTTCACGTAGTCATCAGGATTTCTTTAAATTTGGAGTGAATGTCTCAGATATAGCGTCTTCAAAAAAAATTATTTCAAATTTGTTCACTCAATCTTACTCTGTATACGTACAATTCTACTTACCTTCAATTAATCTCATTGTTATATGTGAGCATTATTTTTTACTCTTCTTTTGTGATATGTAATTATAAAAATCACACCTATTTGCGAATAAGATAACCTAGCAACACAATCAATTGTCTTCATTTAGTCATACATTTCAATCTACTGCTTACACTTATAATATGAGTAGATTCCGTTGACAGATTTAGGTTAGTAATTTTATTTAAACAAATAACGCCTGAGGGATATATACATATATTGTATGTATGTGAAATAAATATTTATGTATTTATATTTTCGTCTGTCAGTTATTTGAAAATTACGCAATCACTAGCTTGGTAGCAAAATCTGATTGGAAAGTTGACAGGCGAATATCCCGTGAAGTCAAATAAATTAATATTTACACAGGAAATTATTTTATTTCCTAATTTTTAAAATTCTTTCTTCATTCATCATGTTATATACGAACATAGTATGATAAGAAATGTTCCTCTGTATGTTATACTCTTAACATAAACACACACACACATACATAATAATAAGCAAACAATTATATCACAACAAATTCATAATATTTCCATCTGTCATGATAGATCCATTTGTTCATCAAACTCCTTTCACACATTGTTGTTGTGCATCGATCTTAAATCTTGATGAATGATATATGAAGAGTACAGAAAATTGAAGAAATATGGGTATGACAATTTAAATTATATGTTTGCTGATAAGTTCTTAAAAATAAATTCTATTTTTATCATTCAAGTAAATCAACAAACTACTGAAATACTTATTATAGTGTTAAATAAATATGAAACAATATTTATGTTAATATGTTCAATAGGATAATTACTTACATGGCATCCAATGAAATTTGTTTATTTTATTAAATAATATAAAAAACCTTATCAGCAAAGCGAAAACTTTCCTTTAAACAGGAAACCAAGACCCCTGGGGTATGCATAACCAATTGCAAACTATTATTTGATTATATAATACAAAATCAGTTTGAAATACTACTGAAAAACCTAAATAATTATATTTTAAGTTCATTATATTTTTATATCCATAGTTTTCAACGATAATAAAAAAAGATGATTATTCCAGCATTTAATTATTAATCTCTTCAGCAAACTTGTATCACAGGAAATTTGAATACAATACAAGCAGAGTTCCTGGTAACCACTATGGTTGCGTCAAACATATTAGGTTTCTTTTCTACCATAAGCTTAAGTGAATACAATAGTCACTATTTATATTTAAATTGAATTCTCATGATTGGACTGACTGGGAAATATAGATTGCTAACGAACTATGTGGCAAATCAGACTCTAATGACAAAGTATACTGACTACGCAATTTTTGACTATTACAATTCTATTACTCGAAAGATAAAAATTTAATTTCGGAAAGGTGGTGAATAGGTTCAAGTTTCAGTGAGATCGGCACTTTATAGGTCAAGGGTAGTTGATTAATTAAATTAGTTTACCATGTTTAAATTTCCTTATATGATCTAGAATAATAAACTTCATTGATATCGATCGGAATTAAGTTTGAGACTTCGCAGCGAGGTGAACAAATAACTTAAGCAGGTTTACTCAAAGCTCAATAACTTTAAAACATCTAGTAAGGAATCTTGGGTTCAAACCTCTGTAAGTTTATGGCGGTAATCTAGTTATGCTTTTTTATTTTACTGTCACTTGAGTAGTTAACAGAATCACTATTATTCAAAAGATTGCATAGTTACGATGTCTTATAAATCGGTCCTTTGTTAATTAATACGGTAACAATTATGATTTAGCTAAATTCATTAAATTTTTTGATGATTAATGAATATATGATGTAAATACTTATTTATTCCTAACCCTTAACTAATATGATTAAATTTTTAAGGAAAGTATACATTTAAAGCCTAGCAACAGTTCATTACAATTTTGAAAAATTGATCTAGCGTAAATATTCAAAATTGACATTTTTTTCTGTTTTAAAAAATATTTTTTATTTTCCAGTTGAATTGTTAGATCGGATAATTTTTTAAAAATTATTATCCAGACGAAAGAATAACTTTAAAATAAAGGAAATCAGTCAGGAGAAACACTATTTTTTATTCATTCTCTCCCTGTTTTAGCCTCCTCCGCTCCAAAGTAATTAGAGAAAAAACAGAAAAGTATATACAGTTTAATTCATTTTTAATTATTTCCATTCTTCAAAACAGAGAAGGGAGGGTTTAAAAAGCAGAAAACAGAAGAAATAACAGGATAGAAAATATTCTGATGACATTGTTAATAGTCAAACCTTTTCATTTCCTTTTTAAATTTTGACGCATCATGGTTACAAACCGTTTAACCTACTATTTTCTTGTTATCAATTGAAGGTATTTTCTTCGCGTCTTAGTAAAATGTACTAAACTCTAGTTTGTTTTGAATTCAGATTACCACACATCACTTGATGTACTCACATTAATTGTATATAGGATAGTAACCAAATGTTATGCTTGATATGTGAATGACTATTTTAAGTTGGACAGGGTGACCGATCGATTAAAGGATTACACATATTCTATTAATATAGGGTGAGGGAGGACCCTCAAGTAGAATATATTGACTCAAATGTTCATTTTATTAGCATTCATCTTCAAAGAGTTTGCATATAAATGAAATGTAAATAGTTTTTCTCAGGGGATCTAGGTAATACAAACAATATTTTGCTACAGAATCATTACGATTAATACTGATTTCCTGAAGCAATGAACTATGTCATGTCGCCGTTACCGTCACTGGAAATTTAAAAACTCAGAAATGTAGTTATAGTTATTATCCTTTACTGAAGTGATTGAAGTTTGAATTTTAATGAAAGTTTGAAATTTCTTAATGACACAAATACACCATATTCATGATTTGGAAAGACTACTTCCTAAATAGTCATTGATTAAGATGGTCAGAACATGTAATACGCCTACCTCTATGTGCAATGATGGATGGTGTAGGAGATGTTGAAAGAAAACTAGTAATGGTCAAATCGAAACGTGGTATAAATCCACGAAAACAATGACTATTGAACTGAGCTAGGTAGGTAGGTAGGTTCAAGCTATCTAGCTGGAGTCTCTGTGATAGTAGTAACTAACACACTAAGATTCTAAATAACATGGCTGAGAATCAATCTTTACAACGGAAGTACATTGACACTTTTTCTCCCCTTCGATCCAAAGTCTCTAAATTATAGTACAAAATTTTTCATCCCATTAATCTAGGCATTCTTCTCTAGTCTTGTGTTCTATGATTAATCTTTACTATTACGGCGAATACTGTTACTATCTCTAGCACTTTGGGATCCCGAACGTTGCTGCTACCTTGACGTGACGGTCGGGCTTGCCTATCGTGATCAACCAATCGAGCTATACTGGCTGGAACAATCGTTCCTCAAGGTCCTACCATGCCAGGCAGATCGGTTGAAGAGCGGTAAGACTAAAAGCAGGAAACCCAAGGTCCAAAGGCGAAGTCGTACTGCTGACTGTACAGAGGTGTGACAGCAGTAAGGTGTTTCCTTCAGACAACCAGGATGAAAGCGATGCTGCCTTCCCACAAGGAGGGGTGGGGTTAGAAAAGGTCGACCCTAAAAATACACACCTCGCCTTATCCCACGGATTTCCATCTCCGGCGGTAAGGTTCCAACAAGCTGACAGATAAATTACCCACAAAAAGATCGTGTGTGACCTACCTCAAGCAGTTGTCCCTTGGGCACTGTGGTCACGCTCTCAGGCCCTTAAGACCACTTCTAATCCAATTTCCTTTTCAGGTACCTCTAGAAGAACCCTTCCACGGTGTGGGCAACCGGGAAGTGATAACTGCCCTCATACCTCTAACAGCACTCACTCACTTTGGGATTTGTTATGATAATTTCATCTAGTTACATTAATGGGGTGTAGCAACTTGAACTGATGTATACGTGTTACAGGTTTTACGTTAGGAACGACTGAATCAATAAATGCCAAGTATTTTGGCTGAATATATATATTGTTATTGGTTTTGAGAAAATCATTAAATCATTTTATGTCTTACTAAATTTAGACCATTTATACATATATCTAAAGTATGTCTGATTTAAAATTTTGTAAATATCAAACTGTAAAAGTTCATTCAGTTATTGTAATTTTCCCATTTTATGTGTGTTTGTGTTCAAGAGAATGATTAGTATCTTCACATTTTCCAATTGTCGAGTTATTTCATGATGTTTAAACTAATTCGAGTCTAGAAGTTATGACAATGCACTTCACAAAATCATAAACTCTTAGAGTTTAGCCCTAATACTTTAAATACAATATTGAACCCGAAATTATCAGGCCTTATTAATGAACCAATAGACTGGTATTCGGTATTTACTGTCCCATTTTTTATTCACTTGAAATGATTTTTTAATGGAATAAGTTTGTGAATTTCATCTGTCATTTTCTATACTATTAAGTAAGGTGTTTCAAGTGATGTTATTTCAAATTTATAGTTTCTGCTTTATAATCTTACAATGTAAAATTTGATTGTAATTCAACAGGGGGGAATTTTACCCTGGTGAGTTTTATCTTCTTCCATGATTGGATTTCTATTCGAAATACGGAAACTCCAAATAAAGATGACATTTAAATTGATTGCAAAATTTATCACCATGGTATTACACAGTTATGTAAACATAAAATCAGTTTTCATAGATTTTTAATTCATGAACTAATATTATTTAGACCACAATTTAAAAACCTGTAAGCATTAAATGGCTGTTTCCTCTTTAGCAAAAATCCACCGAAAGGTATGGTTTAGATTCAGAGATGCGTAGTCATAAACGCATACTCCTGAGTAGTCCTATACTGGGTCAAAACGACTATTCAATGTATCCAGTTTTTTTATTGGTGATCTAAGATGAATTTGTTAATAAAAAACCTATAAACATTATAATTTCCACAACATTCTATACTGATAAAACCGATTGTAAAAAATTAACTTATCTATTTTAGATTATTAAATTTAATATTGGTGTTCCAATCAGTTTGTTTACACATTAAAATGTAACAAAAATAACATAATAAGCAGAGATGGATAGTGGCTAGCAGTGGAATCCAGGACCCGCGTTTCGTCCTATTTGAGACTCGTCAGCTGGATGTACCTGCATCTTAGAGTTGATGTTCACTCTGGGACTCGAACCCAGTACCCTCGCTCCAAACGCTATCGCGTTATCCACTCGGCCACTGAGTCCTGATAGCCACTTGCTTGTGCGATGGGGTGAAGTTTGAATTCACTTAGTATTGTTTGTTTGGATCTTCCCATCGATGTGTTTAGGACTGTAACTGGTCAGTCCTGGAATTCCACTGCTATCCACTATCCATCTCTGCTTACCATGCTTGTGAATTAAGGTATATCGAAGCAATACGCACAGTATGCACATATGCCAATTAGAGACTGACCAGTTGCAGTCCTAAACACATCGATGGGAAGATCCAAACAAACAATACTAAGTGAATTCAAAAATAACATAACTTAATCATTTTGTATTATTATTGACCTTATCCACTTTTTAAGGTTAATTGTAGTGCAATTAGAAGATCAGAAAATATACATGTGAGGAATTGATTTCATGTCGAGTTATTTATACATAGGATCATATTTGTTCATTATAGAGTCAACAATTCAGTATAAAGATAAATAAGAATTTATTTTTCACACCATTAAAGGCTTGTACAAACATAAAATTTAAAAAAAATTTGTTTACAGTATGAAATGAATCTATTTATTAGACTGATTGAAACTGGCTTATAGTTACGGCTTGACTTATTTTGTTTTAAACAGTACTCACTGATTATTTTATGAAATACAATCAAGTTAGTTTTGGTTACTGGGCTATTTTCATATTATTTGTAATGAATATAACAGAATGAGTATATACAGAAGTACATTTTGTATAGTCATAATTACATAGTAATATTAACCTGAACATTAGAATTTCACCTATTGACCGTTATTGAATACTGCTTCAAAATATATGAATATTGTTGTCCCTTTGATTATAATAAGTAGCAATCATAATAAACCATACATCATATATATCTTTCACTATAAAATGTAATAATTATATTTTTGTAATATTTAATTCATTACTTTGTAATACTTACCTGTTTGAACTTGTTCCAAACTTATATGATTCAATATATTTTGACAAGTTTCTAATTTATGATTAACTGAATTATTCTTCATTTCATTTATTATTGATAATATCCAATTATTGTTCTGTAAATAGAATGTAGGTGATAGGATTAAACATAGACTACTACTACTACTACTAATAGTAATAATAATAATAATGAAAGGAATAAACCAAACAAATCATATGAAATATTCTTATTATTATTTACACTTTTAAACCGAGTAGATACGGTGTTGATTTCATTTCAATCTACATATTACTTTTACATTTGGATTTCAGAATGGAGTATGATTGAATAGATGGTTGAATTGTATATGTACTTTACTTTTTCAATAATAATACTCCATTACCGACTGATTTAGAAATGAATAGTGGAAGTACTTTACAGATACTATGATTATTGAAGTCCAATAACATCTGAAGTAAAATAATTGTCCTCGATTACATTAAATGATAATCATCATACGTATCATGAATTGACTGAAATTGGAAACATCAACTCAAATGCATAAACGTATTGTATTATAAAAGAAATCTAAAGAGAGTGGGCTCGAACCTGTTTGACATTGTGGGTATGCACTGAAGGGGAATGCCGAATGAGGTTGGATGCATGTCCAGCGCTTCTCTGTTTTCAGTGATAGTGATAGGGATCAGTGATAAATCATCTTCACAAATCGCTCAAATATCATAAATATGCTAAGCAGAGTTGAACAGTGACTAGCAGTGTTCAGGATGCAAGTTTTGTCCGTTGAATATACCTTAACCCATCTGTTGATGTTCATGCTGAGACTCGAACTTGGTATTTTTCGCCTCGAATTATATAGTTTATTCTGTTATTACAGGGACAATAAAAATATAAGTAGAATAGTTTGCTCATAGGAACTAACAGCCATATTCCTGAGGATGGGTGTAGTGGTCAAACTTCTGAAAATAAAATTTGCGAATTTACATTTTATACTTTTTCCAAGATAGCATACTATTTCCGTTGATCTTATGACTTTTAAATCGTACTGTCTCCAAAAGACTAGAATGCCGGATGAAAGCCTGATTCGTCATCAGATTCAAGGCAGAGGTTCTGGAAACCTTAATATCGTCATCAAAACTTATTATGAATCAATTTGACTAAGCAGAATGGTCCCCAAATAATAAAAAAGAAGCAATACGACGTGTTGATCAGGGTTGGACATGTAAATAATTAGACTTTAATTCTGCAGTTTGCATGTTTTAAATCCATTACAAAGACTGAAGATATCTGGATCACTCTTTGATCAGTTCGTAAGTGTTAACCAATGAGAAGATAAAATAACTGTCCGGTGGTCCGTCTATGTTCGGCTTAAGTTAGTCAACGGTGAAAAACAATCTTCATAACTAATTCGGAATATTTATTTATTTGTGTTATTTGAAAATATTATAATCTACTTCAAGCTTTAGCCCTGAAATCACTATGTAAGTACGACATTACTATTTCTTGAATATACAAAATGACTTTTTCGAATACTTTAAGATAAATGCAATTCATTTTCGGATGCAATTAAGTTCATAGTCTTGTTATTTGAAGAAATCTGTCAAAAATAATTGATTATATTTAATAATGATTAACGACCTAAAAGAAGAATTTACTTAAAAACGCAGTGGAGCTCAAGATCTGTCGTGATTATTCTTCAAGTCTTAGTTGAATATTTACCTCTTAAATGAAAGTATATACAATATAATGGTTTACGTATGAGATGGAGAACAATGAATTAAGCAGTTCACAGGAAATAATGTCCAATACATCTCTTCATATTAAGTTTCAGGTTATTTGTCCCGACTTATTTTTATATACTGTAAATAATATTAGATGACAACCTCTTGTGTGAGTTTCCAGGTCAATACTTGTATATAATAAGCAGTCATGTATGTTAGGATGGCAATTTTTACCAAATGAAGCTGAGGCAGAAAATTCAAATGTACCAACCCGTCAAAATAATATTTAAAATAACATTCGACCATCCCATATTCTAGAATGAATCTATTAGCAGAGTAAATGACAGCAAACTTAAGGGTTGATAATTTAAAATGCTTTTAATTTCATAGCCTACGGGTATATTTTATCGTAAATATTGCAAACATATGTATGTATTCATACAGTTTGAAAAATATGCTTTTAGGGGAAATATGACAATTCTCAAATCTTTCTGAGAATAGCTAATGCCAAACTTTTAATTTTATTGATCATTCAGTGGAAACAAGTCTTCAGTAAATGACACGAGTTTTTCTGTTTACTTAAAACCACTAACCAGTGTTTTACTTCATTCATACTTTTGAAATCACATCGTTCGCACGATTGTAGATCAAACAACTTAAAAGATATACCTCTAAAAAGATGGGTATATTCATTCCTTCTGTTGTTTCTGCTCGTTTCCTACTATGTATTTTACTCTTGTATCATTTCTGAAATCATTAATTCTAATATAATCTATAATCTGTAGTTGAGTTACATTAGCTACCCTTAATGATACAATTAAAACCGTCATACATTTTTGCTCAATTCAACTTTGTTCCAATCTTTTCCTATATTCTTCGATGTGTAATAAAATTGTATCAATTTTCTTGTTAAAATCCAATTCCTTAAGTCATAGTTAAAACATGAATCTAGAAACTATATTTTCGAGATATCATTAATGATCGATATATAATTAACTAGAATGTTTTCTTATTGTTCGATCGAGTTATTTTTAAAGTCTCAGTTACGGAACAATAATGAAACCAACAATAGTATACCTGCTAATTTTAAAGGTATATATATTATCTTTAATCTCCAATACATGATCTTAATTATGATATAAATCAGAAACAATATATCGTATAAATTTTCAAGGTAAAAATGAAGTAAAATATTAACTAACAGTTGTAGATTACTAGAAGAATTTTCATCTTCTACAGAAGACTTATTTTCATGAAATCAAAAGTTTAACAATAATAATTTTATTATCAGAAGAGTTTTTTGGAGAATTTATTAATTTAATAGTTGAATTCATGAGTCAATTGAAGCTAGACCACCATGGAAAACCTGGAAGCACTGAAATTCCATTTCGTCCTAGTGTCTGACTCCTCAACAATGAGCATCCACGATCCCGCATACATGACTCGAACCCTAGACCTTAGGTCTTGCGCGTCAACGCTTAACCTCTAGACTATTGAGCCGGGATTCCAGTGCTTTTAAGTTTTCATTGGTGGTCTGGCTCAGACTGACTCGTGAATTTAACTCTGAAAATACTACAATCTACACAAATCTTCAAAACTGATAAGAAACAAGGTCGTTTCATAACATTTTTCTGTAAGCGTTGGCAAAATGTTCTTTTTAAAATAACTTGACATAATGGTTATATATAACTCGTTATAAATAGATATCAGATAACATTAACGACTAATCATTTTTATAAAGTAAGAAATTGTCATCAATAGTTACAACAAGTAGTGATTAACTTACATTTGTAAATTGATTGATGTACTGTTCTTGAAATGTTTTCATAACATTTTCCAAATCTATTGAATCACTAGTTTTCTGTTCATAAGCTTTATCAAATATATGTCTATTAATAATAGAATTATTCTCTAATGATGAATGATTCAATAATGTAAATTTATTTAATTGTTCTAATATAATCAATTTTTGATAATTATTATTATCTAAATATGTATTTAAACAAATCGTCATGGAATCTGGATTGAGTACATCGTTTTCACTAAATGTATTGTTCATTTTTTTGTTAGTTACTAGGTTACTTTTTCAAATAATTTAAGAATTATTCACATAAAAATAAATTCGAATTTCCCTTATTATTATTTTACAATGAATTTTCGAATGTGATGATTTCACTGATTGTTCAAATTATTCATTTACCCACCCACCAACCTAATTATTCTAAATAACCCCTTAACTTAAAAAGTTCCCATTCTATTTCATCCCTTCAACAGCTAACTTATTTGTTTACTATTAATAGATTGTTTTCACTTAGTGTAAATCATTAAGTGTGTTAGATTTAATTTCTATTTTTCAATCAAAGAATTTAACAGGTTGAAATTATAAATGGACCAATCAGAAATATTCTAGAGGAAATTTATTTTCTTTCTATAACTACCTTATTGGTTGTAATATAGATGTATACAAATATTCATTGAAATAAACATAGGGAAAGATTCATATAAATGCCTTACTTTCTTCTCCCTTTAACCTAATCTAAATGAATTTTGTATCTCATTGATTAAAAGTTTAAATTTAATTTTTATATAAAATAATTCCGTCAATTTTGGTAATCTACTTCAATAGTATATTCATTTTTGTACTGGTTGTTTGTATCCTCCCATTGATGTTCAAGACTGAAACTGATTAGTCTCTTATTGGCATGTGTGCATCCATTGCTGATTGTCTCGATTTTGCCTGAAGTCAAAAACATCATCTATGCTTATAATATCTCATTATCGTTATTTGGATTTGTAGATATTATATCTGGTGCTCTGAGTCGCGCTTACTAGTTCAACTGGTTTTATATTTCAAATAAATTATGAAATACGCAAAGATGGACAGTGACTAGCAGTGGAATCCAGGACGCGCGTTTCGTCCTATTTGGGACTTGTCAGCTGGATGTACCTGCATTTCAGAGAAGATTCAAACAAACAATACTAAGTGAACTTCAACTTCATCCCATCGCACAAGCAAGTGGTTATCAGGACTCAGTAGCTGAGTGGATAACGCGATGGCATTTGGAGCGAAAGGTACTGGATTCGAGTCGTGGAGTGAACATCAACTCTGAGATGCAGGTACATTCAGCTGACAAGTCCCAAATAGGGCGAAACGCGGGTCCTGGATTCCACTGCTAGCCACTATCCATCTTTGCTTACAATGCTTGTGAAATAAGGCTATATCGAGGCAATACGCACAGTATGCATATGCAAATAAGAGACTGACCAGTTGCAGTCTTAAACATCAATGGGAAGATTTAAAAAAACAATACTAAGTGAATTTACATTATGAAATAGTTGTCTAGTAAGTAATTAGTGATCAATTCCTATGTATTGATCTATGCTTGTTTATCAAGCAACTTGGCACTAGGAAACCTTGTTTTATTCTCTTTTACTACATTGTGGGAATAGCCAATGACTTCGTGGATTATGTTTTTCGGGAGAAGTAATTCAGATTCTAAACTAATTATCTGTATAATGTAAAGTTTATTTAAAGCCCAGAACACTGACGAATGTTAGATTTTTGGGTCACTGTGAATTCTGTTATTATAATACAGCAAAATAATCCAATTAATAATAATATGTTCGGAAAATTATAATTACAGAATTGATGCCAGTTTACAGGCCTGATCAGCTTGATACAGATAGTAATATTATATGTAGAGGGAATATGGGATATTAGATTGTTTGAAGTGTTCTAATTCAAAAACTGTTTAGTTAGTATATTTGTCACATGTATCACTGCAATAAAAGGCATCAGCGGAGAACTTTTAATTATTTCTAAGTGGACATCCTGTTGATGTATGAACGGTGTAATTAAGGTCATTTTCCACGCCTTAATGAATTGATTATAAGCATCTATAACCAAAGATAATAGAACAAAAATAGAGAGCACAGAACGAAAAAGACAATAATTACTACGATAGGTCACTCAGGTCTACCATAATACAAATGTTAGATTATTTTATGACCCATAGTTCTTGCTAGATATTATTCAAATTAGTTGAGGTTACGAGGTACAGTGTAAATGTAAAGCAACAGCAGGTAGGGAAGTTTATTCATCGGGTTCGGTGATAAAGACGATTAAACATTCAAAATTTATATAATCTCACTTTTTGGAATGAGCTGTACTTACATGTGTAAGGACCTTGAAAGCATTTTCTGAGGAGAAGTGAGCATCAACACAGCAAATAAAGAAAGGAAGTGATTTCATTTTACGGACAGATTGTTGTAAATTATTCCATAGTTGGAAAATTTGCTGGTAAAGTAATTTATTTGAAGAGAAAACTTAGAATGAGATTGTTTCATTAGTGACAAAGAGTTACGGATGCTGAAACTAAGAGTTTCTACTTAATGAATTGCTTCATTGAATGCAAAAGATAGTTTATTAGGTATCCTGGAGAAAAAGATTAGATTTGGCTTTAGTCTCCTCTTCCACAAAAGTTCCATTCCAAGTGTATTATATCTGGACTTATAATTTAAGATACACTCAATCCAAAGAATGTCAAATATAAATCGTCTGCGAACGGATTTCAGTCTTAATTTACCCTTAATCCAAACATCTCAAAGAATAAACGTGCAGTGTTCTAAAATTGGCTGAATACATACTTCGTCAACGGAAATATGTGACTTGTTGTCATAGAGGTTATGAATTATACAACCCATAAGACGTTGGGACTTGGATGTCCGTTTCGAGGCCTGTTCTGAGAAGGAAAGATTTTAGGAATACCTGAGTCCTAAGTCCACTACCGTATATAACTTGGATAAAACCTTGCCATTTATGGTAAGGTAAAGGCTGAACAATATATTTCCCAAGCATATCCGTTCACATATAGCCTTGCTAAGCTCCAACTACCACTTTTGGCACTTTGTTCAGCATCATACTGATGCAGTTTTGCATTGTATTTGGCTTATTAGAAAATAAATACATTACTTTAAGACCATTTGCAAATAGAAGAGGCTTACCCTTATATAAGCGACCACAAATATCATTTATATGAACCAAAAAGATTAAAGGAAATAGGTTACTGCCTTGCAGTATACGATTTTGATCCTGTATGAGTCTCATACTAAGACGAAACGGCCGATTAGAGCTTCCAGGTTTTCGGTGGTGGTCTAACTAAGCTAGCTTCATGATTTAAATGTAGAAAATTTACTATGATACGTTCGCCGCTATCCAGGAGCTCAGTTGTTTAACATCCTACTTATTTGGATAGATATTGCTAGATTAATTGAATGAACAAGAGAAAATATTTATTTATAATATCCGTAGGAAGGAAAGTTTATACTTCCTATATTTTCACTAGTAAAGTGGGATAGAGCTACATGTTTAGGCCATTTCAAGACAGTCGCAGAGGAGCAGTGAACATCGATTTAACGAATAAATTGCGGGAAACTATTCCATAATCTGGAAAATGTACTGGTAAAGTAACTCATATGGAGAGAAGATTTGGAATGATATTGTTTCCCAAATAGAATGGAGTTATGAATGATTTCTGTGTTTTTTTTATATTAGATTGTATTAATGGATGTAAAAGATAATCCAGTTAGTACTTTGAAGAAAGATATTAGATTGGGTTTCAGTCCTCGCTACCATAAACGATCGAGTCAAAGTTTAATGAACCCCGATTTATTGTTGCGGTAAGATAGAGAAGTGACAATTGCTTCTGGAGATATTCCAACCTAATTTATTCTTTATGCGAACTTCAATCAGAATAAAAGTGCAGTATTCTAAAAATGATAGGACATGGAAGTACTCAAGTCATTCTAATATAGGGTCGTTGAAAACTAGAAAGTTGTTTTGAAACCCGTTCTGTGAATGACGAATTGTGGGAATACACGAGTCCCAAGTTCACTCCTGTATGAAACCTAAATACCACCTTACCATCTGTGGTGAATTCGAAATCGAGGAAGCAATAATGAAAGTTAATCCATCCATATTTAACTGTGCTATGTTCGAAATTCCAGTCTGAACACCACTAGGGGACTTTATTGAACCGATACAGTTTTCGATATAGTTTGACTCACGAGGTAAAAGTGATCACACTAATTTAAGATTATTTGTATACAGAAAAGACTTATCCAAGCAAAATTGATTGAAAAAGTCATTCACATAAGTTAAAGTAAGTTATGATGTCATTTCAAAATAAAAATGACCGTGAAGTGTAAATATAGTAATTATTTCTACGTTCTTGAATCTAGTTTTTAATGATATTTTTTATAGTTTTACTGAACAAGAAAAAATTGTAAGTAGGTGGTTAGTAACATTGAAAATTTAGTTAAGTAATTTTTCTCCACTTTCAAACTATATATTTAATAAATTATTCATTCATAACAATATATGTAAAAATAACACAAATAATATTATCAGAAGGGGGTTTTGTGGAGATTTTAGCAATTTAATAGTTGAATTCATTGGTGAATTGATGCTAGACCATTATTGAAAACCTGGAAGCACTGAATGTCCGTTTCATCCTAGTATGGGGCTCCTCAGCAATGCGCATCCACGATCATATGTTCACTAGTGACTGGCTTCATGAGGTATTTCCTGGAGTTCTAGTGAGAAGCAGTGACCAGTGGAGTTCAACCGGGTCTTCTATATGATAGTAACTCACTGAAGACAGCGGTGAATGGTGGGTAAATTTTGATAGGTTCTGGGTTCTAATCTCGTGGGGCAGGATCGTGCGTGAGCACTGTCGAGGAGTCCCACACTAGGACGAAACTGATATCCAGTGCTTCCAAGTTCTCCATAATAATCTAGCATCATTTGACTCATGAATTCAACAAATTATATTAACAAATTACTGTTTATAAGCAAAGATGGATAGTGACTAGCAGTGGAATCCAGGACACGCGTTTCGTCCTATTTGGGACTCGTGAGGTGGATGTATCGTATCTCAGAGCTGATGTTCAATTTGGCACTCGAACTCGGTATAAGACTGACCGGTTGCAGTCCTAAACATCAATGGGAAGATTCAAACAAACAGGTTAATTTGAATTACTCATTAGTTTGTACTGGAGAAAAATATCTATTTTCCATTTTCATACAATAATTACCAATTATTAATACAGTTATATAAAATCTGAAAATCGAAATCTCTCAAAGTATAATTCCAAAAAAACGGAACAACCACATGAAATAAACCCAATACGATGGAAATAATTTAAATGGATAAGATCTAATTAAATTGTTTCAAATAATCTCTACTTTTCAATATATCTCATTGAATCATTTTCAAAGAAAAAAAAAAGAAAACCTCTTCAAAAAAACACAGCAGGGGATTTTACTTTTCTTGTCCATCCAACTAAATAATTTTTAATTAACTAGTTCAGTTTTTTTTGGGGGGGGATAATTGAACAAAATTCAATGTGAAATCAGTCAGAATGTCAATTGTAATGAATTCATTTTATAGTTTCTTTTTTTTCTATAACCAAAAAATAAAATAAAAATAATAATTTACCTTGTTTCATTATTTTTATATTTGTCTTCTTAAATGACATTCACTACTCACCAATCTATCTATCCATCTATATTATTTAACTAAGATGATTTTTTTGGCGTTTATTTAATGATAAAATAATTTATTATTTTTTTATTTATTTTTTTTAAAGAAAAATATATTGTGTCATATTGACAAGCAATTAATTTTTACGCTTCAATGATTTATAAATAGGGAAAAATAATTTGTCTTGTTATTTATCTTGTATATTTTTCTATTTAATTTTTTTTTTAATAGTTAAACTGCACACATTCTGTAGCTTCTATTTTCTTTAAAGAAGATTGGATTGAAGAAAGATGGAATATAAATTGTGTAAGCAACTATTTTAATAAATTGAGTAAAACTATATGATGAATAAAAAAAACAGATTGGTTTAGGAATTTTGTATATGGATGGGTAATTGTTTATTGTGTGTGTGTGTGAGTGTGTTAGAAGACCTTTCATTAGAATGACATTAAAGTGAATTCATTCAATTAAAACTATATTGTTAGTTTGGACATCTTTGTGTGTCTAGGAACATACATAAAACCTAAATTATTCTCAAGACTACTTAAAGGAATTCTAAAATTATTATTACTTGCAAGCTAGAATTCTATTTGAAGTTATGAATAAGTCACAATTCAAATGAAATGGTATAAATTTTAAGATTATATTTTACTTAGTACATTTTGCAAAATTCCTGTAAACGAAAAGGTATGAATAAGATAAACATGTGTAGCAAAAATAGTAACTAACAGGTTGGGTGGTGTTCAACTCACTATGTGATCTGGATTCAATGTTACTTAGATGTCAACAATATACATATTTATTGAGCTCCGGGATCAGATGGAGCGGTTGTTAACTGTTGCCTAGATTTCAACAGTTTTACTGCTTACGCTTGATCAAGCTTCTCAGTTTTTGATGTAAAAATTTTTCTTGTAATATAGCCGTCACTAAAGCCAATATTTTATTTCTGTTTTCATTGGGAAGTTGAATAATTGGCTTCGACTAATTTAGCACTGGTTGGTTAATTGATGTCAGAGAAAAATCTCTAAATAATCTTACACGAAAGGTTTCAATATAAAATAAATTTGATACTTCACTTAAAAGCATTAAGATAAACTGTAATGACATCGGCTTATTCACCATAGAATGGTAATTTATACAAAGCAGTTGAAATCAGATTTTTCGAGATAGAAACAGTTTGAAAGTTTGTTTTCATTTTATTCGTTAATTAAAACAAAATCTAATTATTCTTGATGTATTCCTGTATGTTCATTGTATGGATTTTTAGTTACTTCATCAATATGCTTTCATGAATTTTACAGTACACATGCTATGCACCAGACTGACTTGTATCAAAAGATACTACTGTGATTCACAAGATAATGCATATCATCAATAAAATCTAAGCTTATACTTCGAAGCAAAACCATCCGTCTATTTTGAAGAATTGGGTTAGTCAGTCGAACAAAATTATATACTATGTACTCTTGGACATACTCCCAAAGTGGAAGGTCAATTCATATTTCACCGAACCTTGCATTTACATTACCTACTCATAAGTTGGTTACTCCGCGACAACAGAACTGTGAATTTGATGGTGTATTTAGTTGCTTCATAATCTTCAAAGTGTTAGATCCATTGGATATGAACGAAGAGATTTAAACTGTGGATAAACTGTCATTTAGTTGTTTTTCTTGATGTAATTTGTTTTAACATTTCGTTAAATATTCGATGCTTGTGTGACTAGCTGTATCGAAAAATGAACTTTCACTACCACTCGAATATTCGGAATTTCCTTCTTAGTTATCAATTAATAATGAGCATAATGTACGGAATTATCTACTCTGTTAATATCAAAAAAATTCACGTTTATATTATTGGGACTGTATTTACAATCACCGTAATTGTGACCTCGAATCATATGATTATTATTTACTTGGAAATTAACTTATAAAGTGAAGGGGGTCAGAGGTAATGCAATCTAGTCACGTATACATTGAACAGCTGACATTCCCAAGACATTTATTACGTGATTACAAATTAAGCGATGACGGAATGTAGTTGTTTGTGATCTCGCTTATCTTGTTTTGTCAACGAACTGAAAACGAGTGTTGGTGCACTTCACTTAATTATCAACATTTCATATTTTACAATAGATTTATTGATATTTATGGTTTTCTGTGATACAATTACCAGTGAAAAGTTTTTGCATTGATTCTACAGTGATTATGAATAACTCATCAGTAACTAGTCATTTTAAACTGTCAACTGTATTTCCTGTAAATATACGCCAGAGTTTCTTTGTGAATGTAAGAATATATAGTATTATTAACCTTTTGATGGTGATTATTTATTTCCAAATTCAGTGGTATGTATAATTATAATGCTTAATTACGTCTGTTATATTCGTGGAGGAGCATAGGCCGTCCACCAGCATTCTTTACTAAACTCTGTCCTGGATAATTCTTTCCACATGTTTCCAGTTGCTGTTCGTTCTTTAGATGACTGCTTCCGAATTCCCAACGCATTGTGTTCCATGGTCTTCCTCTTTTCCTTTTCTCTTCGGGATTTCAAATTAGCAATTGTTTCTTCCTCCAAAATTTTGCTTAGTAGAACGTGGAACATATTTGCAGTCACTTCTATGTCTGACTTTGGTGCTTCAGCTGGTATATTGCCAGGTCCTGTTGCCCTTCCACTCCTGATGTGTCCGATGGCCATCCTGATTTTTCCAATCGTTGGTGGAGTGACATCAACAGGAAGATCTGTGTGTGCTGCTACGATGTCTGGTTGGTTCAATGGGGCTGGTATACCCAAGAATTTCTCAAATGCTTTGCCCACCTGTTCGTCTCTTCATGAGTCTCAGTGATCAGCTTACCTTCTATGTCCTTGACTGATCTCTCTTGTTTACTATATTTCCCTTACAGTTTCTTCGTCGTTTCATGTAGCTGTCCTTCTCTTTCAGCTTCGTCCACTGTCGTTGCCAGTTCTTCCAGATGTTTATGCTTGTCGGTCCTGATGCTCCATTTCAATCTCTTGTTTACTTATTTGTATTCAGCTCGTGCCTTCACTTTCTCTGTTCTTGTTCGTCTGTTGGTAATTGTTGTCCTCTTGTTCTTCCTATCTTGAATCTTGTTCACGGTTTCTACAGAGATGCATTCCTTATGATGATGCTTATTGAGACCCAACAATATTGTCGATCTAGTTTCCTGTGGTGTGATGTGGTGAGATCCATGTAGCTTTGGGTATGCCTATATGAGGGAATATTGTGGTCAAGTCCTTTCCTGAGTATTTCGCTGCGATGGACTGCAGTCTCGCATAAGACTGACCTTTATTGCCGTAATTACTATAATTAGTGGGTGCATAACACCGAATAACATTCATTGTGATTCCCTCCATCTTTGTTTTGAAGGATGCTTTGATAATTCTGGATCCATGAGATTCCAAACCAGTAAGTGTTTTATGTGTCTCTTTGGACAGCATCAAAGCAAATCCTTGAGTGTGTGGAGCATTTTCCTCTTCGTTACCAAAGTACAGCAGCATCTCTCCCGTATATTGATTCATCTAGAGATTTCCTCATCAAGAATGCAAGGTTTTTTTAGTGAACTTTTAATACATTCCATGTATATATGAATATTGTGTGGATATTTAGTAAACCCATTGAACTGTTTTATTATTTGTCTGCTCGCTGTAATTTAGACATTTAATCCACTATATAGAATTATGCGTGAATCTGATTAGGCGCATGTCTGCACATCAATCTTTATCTATTCTTCCATTGGTTGTAAACACAAACAGTCAATAACTTACCCAGGATCAACTAACACTCATCGATATATATATGGATTTTTATACACTCACATACACACTCTATCAATGGTTTCCCTCTATGCTTACTTTCTGCGCGCTTGCGAATTAACAATAAACTATCTCTACAACTGGTGTTCGGGCTTTTGAATAATCTTGAGTAAATTCATGATACTACTAGAAGATTTAGCCTGTGTAAATACTGAGTTAACGGGATACTATTTATTGGAGTCAGATATAGAGGAAATTAATCGCTACAGATATATTATAAGTGAATTTTGTTAATATGTGAATTAGAGATTTATTAAACATTTTGTTATCAATCATCTACTGAAACTAGTCAATTGTTTCTCCAAAATAACTTGTTTACTTTCTTCAATTATGTAACTCTAGTAATGCTTCGGTGTAAAATGTAGACAGTGAATAGTTTGACAGAAAACAAATTAAATTGCTTAGGATATGGTGTTTATTCTCTACTGGTTTAAAAAAATATTCTACGAATATAACATGTAAGAAATTAAGCAAACATCAAATGAATAAATAAGACATTTAAAGATTGAAAAGTGTATATTATTTCATCCGGAATGTATAACCCAGTCAAATTTTGAACTATCCATTGAATAGTTTCTTAACCAAATAGCCAGATATACAATAGGATTCTTTGGTCTAATGATAAGTAATTCGGTTAATGCTAAACACAATGGTTGAGCTGAAAACGATGAGAAAATATAAAGAATGAGTAATTTAATTAAGTTTAGTTAATTAAATGAATCAATTTGAACCTCAACTCAAATAATTAAACTTCTTTCATTCTCAAGTGTATGCCGTAAAGTTACTTGGGTAGGTGAAATAGATAGCTACTGAAAATATATGAATGACACCTCTAGTTTAGATGCCTGAAGATTCTTGAATACGCTTCTTCCAACTACCACTTCTTAGAATAATATAAGATAATTGTGGAAAATGTTGAGTTATCTGTTATATACTGATTGAATACTTACTGATTTGACTGATTTTAGCATATTTTCGTAAGTTTCGACAGTCTCAATGTCACACATATAAGTCCCCTAGTTTTCTATGCATTTAATAATCTTCAAAGTCAAACCACTTTCATATTTTCTAAATTATTGTGATTCCAAATCGTTTTAACGAATCGATTTATTTTAAATAATGATCTGTGAGGACATTCAAATACCAGGTTACAAAATAGTGAAACATTAGCATATAGCACAGATAAAATGGATAATCACTGCAGATGTGTAAATGACATTTTTTACTGGGAACACTGGGTTATTCCTGGGGAAGTCTTCAGAAGTTGGAGGATGTTGAATATACTTCGTCTAATCAGTGTTCCCTAGAACTGTCAGAGAGTATTCTGGAAAAAGGAGGGTTGTGTTATTTTTATGACTGGATACTTATTGATTTTGTTACCAATTTTTCCGGAAGCTTCCAGAGCCGTGTTGTTACACTAACAAATATCATAGATTTCTGCATACTAACTCAACGTCAAAGTAAAGCTTCATTCACACTTTCTGCTAAGATTTCGAGAGTTGAAGAGTTTCGTGGATTAGGATGTAGTTTAGAAGTCGGAGTTCAATTGTTCAAATAGAGTACACATCAATACTGTTTTGTGGTATAAGAGAATCAGTAAGGAAAACCTAGTACTGACCAAGTTTGATGAAGTCTTCTATGTCTCACACTGTTCATTTGACAACGTACAACATTCGCCTCATTTTCTATCAAGTTGATATTTAACAGACAGCTTGGGATAAAGAGATCAACCGTGCATGTTTTCATTAAACGAATAACAAATGCTTTCATTCCCTGAACTAGGCAAGATCTTTAATCAGTGATGCACGTTTTCCCAGATGTAGATATGGTCATCGCGTAATTCCCTAGAAAAGTGAGACATTGTAAATCCATTTACTGAGAGGCCAACCAATAAAGTATAATTTTTGCTGAGCAAATGGAATACTGATAAGTTTCATAAAGGGACAGACTTAAGTTCTCTTTTATACGTTTTATGAAATTCATTTATCACTACAGTTGGTTATGTGCATCGTGATCAGGGAGTGACACAATTCATCGAGCTGATGTCGTTTTAAGAACCGATGAAGGAAAGTGAAAATACTGAGTTGTAAGTAGCTGCTTATTTGCATACACTAACTGACATTCATATGAAAATACGTCTCGGAAAATTGACCACTATTTCATATCTTCAGTTGTCTCTCACTTTATTCTCCCAACATCATCGGTTTTCAAGTGAACTGATTGCTTGTCACTAGATTTGACAGAAATATCTTACAGTAGTAAAACTGGAAATGAACTTTAGTAATTGAAAAAATCAACTATGTGAGGTCAATATACACAAAAATTCCAAATTCGTCTACTTTGAACCAACTTACATTAAAAAGGGCACTGTAACTGGTATAACGTTGAAGTTAACACCCTAAATCTTTCAGTTTTCGCAGATTTCCTTCCCAAAACTCTGTGAAGTTTTCATCGATTCTCCGCATAAAATTTGAAGCTAAAGATTAGAATAAATTTCATTCAACCTACTTTGGATTGATAGCCTACAAAATGAAGACTACTACTACTGATAATAATAATAACACTAATATTATTACTACTACTAATCCCTTCTGAATATTGAATTTTTTTTCAATAGTAAGTCATTTAAATTGTAGTGAAAAGAAATACTAATCATGTGATAGTACAATGAAATCTATTCAGAATATTCATTTTGTGTTTTTTGTTTGTATCTTCCCAGAGATGTTTAGAACTGTAATTGATAGGTCTCTTATTGTTAGATATGCATCGTGTGCCGATTGTTTCGATATTACCTTAAGTTACAAGCAATATATGCAAAGATGGATGGTGGCTATCAGAACTCAGTGACCAAGTGGATAATGTGATTGCGTTTGAAGCGAACAGTGCTGGGTTCGAGTCCCGGAGTTAACATTAACTCTGGAATGCGAGTACATCCAACTAACGAGTCTTAAATATGACGAAACGCGAGTCCTGTATTTCACTGATAGCCACCCTTCATCTTTGCTCATAATTCAAAATATCGTTTCATTTCGACTAACTAACAAATTCTGGATACAACCAATTACATTATCCAATAAATGAGAGCAATTTAACCATACATTGAAATATCTACAGACTTTAACGGTCACGATGAGTATCATTTGGTAATGAACTGGAAAACACAGTGAACTAATAAATAGAGTAACTATATTTTCCATACTTAGTCACATATGAGTGAAGCGTTTTGTCTAATTGAGATCATGAAGGATATGACTTTGTATGTATCTTATATTCAGTTTGTTACTGTTTCATCTGTAAGCATTCTGAAATACAAAACCGTTCTAGAAGAATCTGTTGGATTGCAATAGAACATATCACGTGATTATCACTGATCAACCAGAACGAAGATTATAAGAAATTTAACAGTCCTCAACTCTTTTTTGGTTATATAAACAACACTTACTGTTAATTAAGATAGCAATTACTTAAAACATTTGATAAAATTTAGAAGATGCAAACTAAGACTAAAGTTTTTCAAACAGATTGCTATGATAAACTTTCACAAATCATGGATAAGGGAGGCACTAAAGCACTATTAATGAGTGTATATGCAAATCGAAACCTTCAAAAGAAATATGAAACCTTTCAAATGTGACAATTAAATTTATAAGTGAGTGTAGGCAGTTACTAAATTGCCATTCAGAACTGCTTAATAAATTTGTACATCAAACAATATCTCTGTTTTCGACGAATGGGATGTGCAAACACGAAGACAGTATATTGTATAATTTAGGCTAACGAACATTTATGTAATTAGTAAACCAGACAAGCAATCGAATTGAAAGACTTACCTAAATCTTTGAATATAGCTGCCTGGGGTGAACAGAATGGTAAATCTGGTACTGGATCAAAACGGCCCTGTTTCACCATTTCACGGTATTGTTCGACGGCTTCAAATGAAACCAAACATATTGATAAGAAATTAAGATAGGAATTTATAAAACTGCAAACATGTATACTGAAAAAATTATCACAGTCACTGTTAAGTAATAATAAAAGAAATTAGTGAAAAATGGTGAAACGTGCCTCGAAAAGTTAATTTGGATAGTTTCAGGAATTCATTGATCATGTAATTTCAAACACTTGTTTGAAATGTATCAAGCCAAACAGTGTTTAATAAAGAACTTTAAAAATGATCAGCTTTATCACCAAAATCACGTTATTCTGAATTGTGTGCTAGTTAACTGATTATTATGGTTTGCTTAGAGAGGCATTTACAGCTTGATATTTTATGGTTTAGAGAAAAGTCAGTGATAAAACATCGTATGTCAGACGAGAAAAAAAGTACTTTGCCTAAAATTTTAATGTAATTTAATAATATAACGGTAATTCCATGGAAACTGGAAATTCACTTACTGTCTTCCTGATTCTCAATCTCTTGAGTAACGTTATCGTTATCATCATTTGGTACACTCTCAGTAACATCCAAACTCACATTGTTCACATCAGCTTTATCAGGAATAACTTGGATGGGTTTGTTGGAGACAGAAACAGTAGAGACTTTGTTTGCTGGATTGAGTTTGATCAATCTGGAACGTTCAGGTGCTTTGGGTTTCGACTTGAACAGGGTCGCTTCGTCAACCTTGTTGTCTACTGCTTGTGAATCCGGTTCGCTGGGAGCCTCTTTCAAGATTTCCTTGGGATTCTCAAGATTGAATGTAATATCTTGTTTCTTCTTCTGTTCATTCTTTACATCTTTTATTTTCGTTTCGACTAAACGCCGTGCAGCTTCATTTAGGACCTCAGTTGTGTTTTGATTGTTCACAAAACTTGAGTTGTTCTGTTGGTTTTCGACATTAGGATTCTCGTTCGTTGGTGAAGTTTTATTGGAGAGTGGCTGAGATTGACGGCGTTTTTGGCCGCTTTTACTTGAGCGTCTACTCCCACTTCGACTGGATTTTCTGTCTTGTTTCTCAGATTTCTTCGTATTCATTTCTAGTTCTTCTCCATCATCTTTCGGAGATGCAGGAGGAGACTCCTCCTCGGTAGTCCCACTTGCGTCGGACAAATTGATGGAGAATTTCGCAGAGTCATCCGAGTTTTCCGATGGTATATCATCGTCTTTGAGTAAGTCTTCCTTGAGAACGTCAGCGAAATTGCGACTTCCTCCATCAGTCGTATCTTGTAAGACGAATTCTGGTTTGCGACCTGTGACGAGATATGTCTTCATGTTTCCTTTACCCTATCAACGTAAAAAAATGTTCTTAGAGTGATTCAGGGTTTTCAAATTGTATATAAATTCATGAAACATAGGGTTACGATACACGGTACATGTATGTCGACAGTTAAAGCGAATTATTTCTGATTTGAAACTTCCGAACTTCTCTTCTGAATACTTATTTTGACCGATTATCCCATAAAATTTCATCTATGAAATTGTCCTCCTGACTATGTGTATATGGTAAAAACCTTTTGACATATTTACACTCTATATTAATAGCCAGACATTATTTAACATTATCAAGTTTATATTACAACTGATGAATTGTTTCAATCCTTTGAGAATTGAAATAAGGAAATTAGGTAAGTAGTACTTGCGGTGTGTTATGAAATTTCACATTTGGAAATAATTTTAAATATCCATTCAAAACTGTTATTCACAATTGTAATTTTCTCTATTTTCATTTTCTGTCGACTTGCAAACTCCTTGTATGAATGTACCGATAGTAAATGTCTTATTTCCTGAAAAACCTAGTGACTATCATGACTCAGTTGTTTTACTGTTCACAATCCTGTGTTTAAAGTGTTAGGAGTTGGGTTTGAGTTTCAGCATGACATCAAGAAGGATTCAGGTACATTCAAACGACTAGTCGCAACCAGGAGTAAGCAATTATTTTTGATTACTCCGTTCCCCATGTTCCAAAATATGAATCACTATTAGTCATACGGGGTCCGAAATAATATCAGAGAATAGAAGATCTCTGACAGAAATATTCTCACAAATGAACATTCATGAATACATAATTCAAAATATAAACTCGTTATAATACTTTCCAGGTAGGTGTAAATGTGAGTCATGCTACGAAAGACAGCTCGGATTACAGTGAATAGATGTTATAAGTGAACTTGCTTGGAAAAATGTATTCGTTGTCTTTCCTAACTAGACTCTTAAACATACTTGCCAAATAAACACTGAGTTCATCGTTTTAATAATTTGTTGATTTGTAGATTAGAACACTGAATATTTTACTAATTTATGCCAGAATCCGTAAACAGATATCTGTTGTTTCATCACACTTGAATTCATAGTTTATTGGTAGAACTAGAGGGGTAATATGGCGTTCGTGTCATTTATGCAGTAGTAGATGAATTTTGATAAGTCACTGTTACTCAATAGGATTGCTCGGAGAGCTTCAGCTTCTTATCCGATGGCATAAACTTCTCCTATATTGATGGGACTTCTGAAGGAAGAGTAAATATGACATCCATTCCAGTTACGCTAAAGAAATTTTTGTAAATTAACCAATTGTCCACACTAAGGGATCTTTTAATTAACGAATCCTTCAGTAGAGTTGTCTCGAACATACTGGTAAATATCACCTAAATGATGGACTTCATGAATCTGTTAGTCTCAAGCTATACAATAGTTTGTCGTATCAAAATCGGTATCAACCACTATGTTGCCACATAGATCTAAAAAAATCTGATTTCAGCCAGCCATAATCGAATGTGAATTCATGATCAATTTCTAACCCAACACCTGTATGATAACGCTCTTTTCCTATATATATATATATATATATATATATATATATATATATATATATATATATATATATATATATAATATATATATAATTACTTCAATTAGAATATGAATTAGTGATAAGTAAACTTGTAGAGTAAAATACCTTTATTGAAATTTCTCCTCGACATTCCACTTCATATGGATAAGGTGATAAAGACTGAGCACAAGATTCGCTAATATGCACTTTGTCTGGCTAGTAATATGAGAAATGTACATGAAAGTGAAGAATAAATGTCGAATAAAAAGTAATAATGTAGCATATGATCACGATTTTATTTTTAGTATAAAAATTAATGGGAAAATGACTTGAATAGACTTTACCGATTTACATTACCATTGATTGAACCAATGAGGAGATTTCGCATTTGTCGTTTGATCACTATAAATCTATTTCAGAAATGAAGGAATTTGTTTACCTTGATTTGAAATTAAATTCTAAGTTTAGGGTTACAACATTTCGAATACAATATTTTTTAGACAAATTTGTCAGCATTTATGATTAGTTTTTTCTAATAATGATTGAAATAATGTTTCACTCTGAGGATTACAACTGTAGTAAGTCTAATCAATGAAACTGTTGTAACATAAATTTCCGAAGATTATCAACCTTGAATCAGTGACTCAGTAATCGGAATCGCATGTGAAATATATTGAGTTAAGTTGGTAAAATAAAGATTATTGGAAACTTTTCAATCCATGTTCTAACAATTCCTATCTTACCGATCTTATATATGTGTATTGTTTCAAGTAAAAATGAAAATATTCACAACACAGTCATACTACCTTCACAAATGGAAATTCAGTTTTATATATGTCATCTACAGTGAACACTTATTAACAAGCCAATAAAGGCTTTCTCTCCCAATATAAATTTTCACAACAAGCTATTTATCTGTTAGATCTACTTCACTCCGATCACAGAATTTCCAGACGAAAAGGTAAAACAATCTGAAAATCTTGTCCACGTTTTAATAGTAACAATAGTAATTATACTGTGGATTTCTCATTTTTATTCAGAAGTGAACTTATCCAGTAGGTCAGTGTGAATATTTCAAGCGACAACTTGACACATTTATTTCCGTTTTTCGTGTTTGTTTAGAACACTATTTTGTCTATCAACAGTGATAAATTATTTATCGATCAGAGGGGGGTTTTGTGGAGAATTTAGTATTTTCACAGTTGAAATCATGAGTCAATTGAAGCTAGACCACCATGGAAAACCTGGAAGCACTAGACGGCCGTTTCATCCTATTATGGGACTCCTCAGCAGTGCGCATCCACGAACTCGCTCTCGCGAGCGAGATTCGAACCCAGGACCTACCAGTCTCCAGCGGAAGCCCTTAACCTATAGACCACTGAGCTGGCATCCAACGGTGTTAATGGTCTATCGGTTAAGGGCTTCCGCTGGAGACTGGTAGGTCCTGGGTTCGAATCTCGCTCGCGAGAGCGGGTTCGTGGATGCGCACTGCTGAGGGGTCCCATAATAGGACGAAACGGCCGTCTAGTGCTTCCAGGTTTTCCATGGTGGTCTAGCTTCAATTGACTCATGATTTCAACTGTGAAAATACTAAATTCTCCACAAAACCCCCCTCTGATCTATAATCATATGCTCACTAGTGACTGACTTCAAGAGATATTTCCTTGAGTTCTAGTGGGAAGCAGTGGCCAGTGGAGTTCTACCAGGTCAGTTGTAGAGATATCATCTCACTGAGGACAATTGGTGAACGGTCGCTCAATATCGTGGATTGGTTGAAGTTAGACATTAACACCGTTGGATGCCAGCTCAGTGGTCTATAGGTTAAGGGCTTCCGCTGGAGACTGGTAGGTCCTGGGTTCGAATCTCGCGGGTGCGGGATCGTGGATGCGCACTGCTGAGGGGTCCCATAATAGGACGAAACGGCCGTCCAGTGCTTCCAGGTTTTCAATGGTGGTCTAGCTTCAATTGACTCATGATTTCAACTGTGAAAATTATTTATCATCAATGGATCAATATCAGACCACCATTGAGAAAAAGATCCATTCATGATATCAATCCAAACTCAACAATCTCCACAACCCTATACTAAAAATTTTTTGCCGTATACATGCCAACCCTAATTAGGAGTGGTTAAGTCTCAACCAGCGTACACATACTCATCATTTGTAGCTGTGTGTTTGCCCCGTCTTTGTTTCAAATTGTCCATAGCATTCCAACGAGTAATAACAAGTCAGATTCTGGTGGTCAGTGTTCCCAAAGTTGGTTAGTCATGGATCACCTGGGGAGTGAACGGGCTGTTGAAGCGTATAAGGGACTATATACGTCCAATGTTTACGTCAACATTGGAAGTCGACTGTCGTCATAGAAACAGTTATTTTCATTAAACTGCGTGAAACTTGTTGTTTTCTTCAGTGCAATATCAGTACAAACAGCACCTTACGCCTGAGGAACTACCTTGGCATTTTCATATCCTTCACCAACAACATAAATATCTCAGTTTGCCGATGTATTCCAAAGATTATGAAACTCAATAACAAATAACATAATCTGATCATTATATCAAAACTTTAGAAATACAAAAAATGTTTGCAGTCATTATTTTATCGACTACATTGTCTCAACGTGAGTGGATAAGTTAACTTACTACACCATGACTCATCATTCTACTTGAAGTATTCACTGTATCACCAAATAAACAATACCGTGGTGTTTTATAACCGACTACACCAGCAACAATTGGACCAGTATGACATCCAATGTAAAGATGTAAGTTTTCATTTGTATAAACCGTTTTATTTTTATTATTAGCTGGAATATTTTCACTTGACTCCGGCCAGTAGAGACTGAGTAGAGTTACTTCTATGATTTCTAATGCTGTGTCGATTATGTGTGCAGCATGTAATGGGGTCTTGTGTGGTGCTCCAGAAACTAACATATAACTGTCATTGACTGTTTCAACCTTTCCAAATATAAATGATTAGAGTGGAAATTATTTGTTAATAGAAATCAACCTTTTAGTTGAATTTGCATCACAAAATCTAACTAAAAATGAATGTGAGTTGGAAATCGAACAAAAACTACATGATCGTTTTTTCTTGTCTTTGGATTCAACAACATCAAATTTTGGAATAGTTTCTTGTCGATTCATCAATAAAAGTACTAATTTCGAACTAAGGGACTAATAAGATGAAATGATTGTTAGTATTTACAGGCCTCTGTGATGTGGAAATACAGAAGAAACAGACAATGTGTTAGTTATTACCGATTCCTCAAGTGGTATATTCAGTAAACAAGTAGAAATATCAGTGTGGTTATTCGTCAGACGATAAATTGTAAACTCAGGATGTGAAAAAGAGATATTATTTAGTATGCCATAATTAGTTAGATGAAAACATTTACCGAAATGCTAGCTGCGTGAATAGATATGCCTTTCTCACCAAACCTCACTTATTCTGAGAAGTAACCATATGACAATATTGCTTTAAGTGTAGTAAACACAGCAGAAGCAAACGAAAAACTCTTTACCGTATCTCATCAAAGATAAGATGAAGTGTTTTGAAAAAAACTGAATTAAGCTCTACTCATAAACCTTGTCAGCGAATCCTCACTAATTAAATGTTGCTGTACATGTATTTGTTGAATGGTTCATTTGAAAACTAGAGTTGTTTTCAATAAAATCATAATGATTAGACTTTATCGAAGAATCATACTGAAAATTTTTCTCATAATATTCAATCTTTATGATAAGATAAAAATTCAGGCATACATCTGTCATAAGTATACCGAGCTAACTTCAATGTTTAGTACTACACAGTGTTTCATTTTGTGAAAATAAACTATCTGGTTTGATGTTCAATTTCTAATTCACATACTGTCTTACGAACATGTTTTCAATGACTGGCTTGTCTACCAATCTATTTAGTCACCAGTAAGTACAGTAGTGTTGTTATCAGATTATCACATTACTGCTTCTCAGGTTTGATCAGAAGTAAACATGAGATAGGTGTTGGTCAAGTCATATCCCAGGTAGGTAGGTATCAGGGTTATTTTGGAATTACATTGACTGTGTCTCACATTTTAGAAATACAACAAAATTACAGACCTGTTGTTGTTGTGTGGCTGTTTTATCTCCACAGTACCAGTCCACTCGGAGAGACTATCGTACTGACATTATCGACTCTACAATGTTGATCTGAATAGAATGGTAGATCATATTCCCTGGTGAAAACATATCATCGACCAAAGTGGTTTAGCATACTGGTTTTCCACACCTGTCGGTCTTCCAGTTGAATTTGCGAATCTGATCAGAGCTCTTAAGTGAGTTAAATGTGTTGTTAAACTGTAGTCATATATGATGACCTGACTGATGTTTTTTAGCAATAAATAAATGGGTCTGGAGGTAACCTCAAGTATTCTATTTTAACCAGCTTCATTTATGAAGAAGTAGTTTACGCTTAGCCGACTATGGTTTATTTGTTTCTGTCAGCTACACTGAATTTGTGGTTTCAGTTTGTAAACATGCTGAAGTTCTAGATCAACATACTTCTTAAAAGTCTTCTTATTCGGTAGCCATGAGTTGAATGCACCGGAAGCACTCAGTGTATTCCAGTACACTAACTAGATTTTGTTTTGCATTCTTTACCTAGTTTAACAATTGTATAATAATAAATCCACACTGTACTTCAACCCTGTTACAAATGTCCTTTCAATAGTTTACAACTCTGTTTCAAACTCTATTTAAGTTTCGGAACTAAAATCAGTTTAAGTATTAAAAAGTTGGATGAGAATGGGATGTTCATTGTAGTTTTAACTTTGAAGTATTCTATACCAACAGAGAAACATATACATCAAACATGTGATTTATGAACTAATGCTGATTATTTTTTATGAATATGGTTTGAGTAATGCAGTGATTATATTACTGAAAACATCTAGATAATTGAATAGTATGGTTAGATAAAATTATATTTACCTTATAAACTTTATGATTTTCAGTCAAAGCATCGTAGAGAGAATACATTCTATTCAATAACTCAATCACTTGCTCAACACTTATGTGCATACATTTTGCAGCGAAGTTCACCACTTTTGTAAAACATATTGTCACTTCATCAAATGTCTAAGAGGGAATCAGAGATTGATTGGATGATAAAAATTCTTTAGGTTTGGTCAGTATATGAAATATCGACACTAGTTGATAAGCAAATGCGTTAGTTAGTGTAAGCTGTGAAACGAACATGCCACAATTGTTGACGTTAGAATTAAATGTTCAGATGAGAGATATTTGGATCTTCCAAAGAACAATTTTACTATATGATTCGATGACATTTCTAATGGGAGAGTGCTCCAGTCTAGAATTGTTCGAGTGTGGAATTTTTGTCAACATTCTAGTCGAAATCCAGAATGACACTTCTGAATTGGTGAAAATTACAGCTGTCATTGCTGTTACCATTACCAAGGTCAGTCTCGAACATTTTAGAGAAATTGAGCATTAGATAGAACGTTATAAATAATATAGTGATATGATTGTGATATCTCAATCGCTAGAAGCTGAGATTTCTGATGTTTGGAGCAAGCAAATTTCTCAGAGTAAATTTACATATAACCGAATAAATGACTGGCAGTCGTTCAAGTGAGTTTATTTTTCACAACAGATAATGTTAGTGATGTATAAACAAAGTATCAACTTGAAGAAGTATTTCCATGAGTGCCCTAAAATTAATATAATTTACTGACAAATGTACATAGACAATCAGTGTTAATCAGTCAGATAGTTAATTGACATGTTTTTACACTGAAAATGTCAAATGCATACAAGAAATTCATTCCCAATATACGCAACAGTATTTTGGGTTTGATGTTGAGATTTCTATCAAATAATTTCATGCTCATCAACCAGTGATTGGGTAAACAATAAGTCTAAGAAAATGCCTGTCTAAAATCAAGAGAATAAGACCACGTGGTGGAGGTTACATATGCACTCACGAAGTAGCAACGAGGAATCTTCCTCGTTATATCGTTGAGTATTATCTACTTTTCAAAATCAATAAAATGTGACCAATGTTGTGAAAATAAGGTGATGTTTACGCATAAATCTTGAATATCTGAAATAGACAGTTAAAGTATTTCGTTACGTAAAGTATTTGATTCCAACCAAAATGTTCATGTCTAGTCATCATTAATATAACAGTGTCTTAAGTATAGACAGCTTTGGAAAAATATTATTAAAAGTTAAAATGATATTAACGAACCTGAATGGTATCAATCGCTGGGGTGCCGTTTCGGATTTTTCTGGCCACTGTACTAGGAATACACTGATACAACAGATCGTCAGTAACTTTCCTAATCTTTTCCAATTGCAACATACTCTTCTCCATCTGTTTAGCTTTTTGACGTTGCTTTGAAAACAAATATTAGTGAAACGAAGTTAATTCTCACTTCAGCTCAGTTAATACATGATTAATATTTATGTCTGAAAAAATGATGTCAATATATTTAATTGTGGTGATTTGTTATTCAGGTGATTGAGAAATGGGACATTTGTGACAGGAGATATTAGCTAGTTCGTGCGGCAGTTTCGGTTACTAGATGCTTCATTGATAACTGTGACATTGCTATCCGGAAGCCAACACTACAACCTGCCTCTTGATCATCTTCGTGTTTAAATGAACGAAATTTCTCAATATGAACACTCTTCCTGGGAAACAGTTGTTGATGGAATGAACTACTCATTACACTAAATGATATAATTACTTTTGTTTGCAAATATTTTTATTTCGACGAAGATCGTAATGTTGATAATCCCTAAATTATTATTTCGGACAATTTAACCTAGAAATGCACATTAATGAGGAAATGTTACACTGACTAGATAGAGACAATACTTAATTGTGAATTCCTAGAGTATTACTCTAGATGATTTTATTAAGGACTAGTAGATTAATATATAGTACTAAAGCTTCTCATCAATTCCAGTCATGATACCACAGAAGAATTTCCGTTCTAAGTAATCTTCACAATCAAAAGAGCATGCTAAAAGGGAGCGAAGATAGAAAATTTGTGCTCTGAACGCGTTTAACCAGTTCTGCTTGTAAAAGCGATAAAGGAAATTTATTATTCTTCCATTGTTCTGACACGTCATTCCAGTCCCTTTTACATCTTATATTTTATTAATTGGTTAACTATTACTCCTTGCTTGAAAAGTTCCATAATACTTTTCAGTTATCATTTTAAACTGTACGTTTTTCATTGACTTTTCATAATTGTCAAATAGACTATTTATTTTTAAGTCTCTTATCAGTGGATTATTTTCATTTTCGTTTGACCTACTGATCATTACGCAGCCGTCTTGTGATATTGAAAATATCCGAACACTTTACAAGGTAATCTCTTTCTGGTTTTTGATAGATAGATGAATTTTTTAGATCACTGAATGATATCGTCGACAGAAGTCCTAATTCTCAAGTTATTACATAGATTGTCACCACTATCGTACTACATTTCCTTAGCTTTAATATAAATATAATTGCTCAACGAAATAAATATTTGAATCTTCATACTAAATGTACGATATAATGTGTACCAAGGAAATGAAACAAAACAGTAAATTAAAAATACATACGTATAGGATACGTGTTTTATTGACACAGAATCATACCTCGCAACTTTAAAATGTTTGAACATTAATCAAACTACTGATAAATATCAAGTAGTAAAGTGAAGTAGGAAAGGTAAGAATAGAATCTGTCAGGTGGAAAATAAATCTAACAGATGAAACTGAAATGTATTAACAGTTTTCTTTAATTACAACTATGCATTCTTAACTGAATGTACCACATATTTAAATTTCAAATCAAATGGGAATAGCTGTATATTTTCTTCAGAACGAAATATTTGAAAAGTACATAAAAAACAATTTGTGATCGAGTTGACCTGGTTAACAACGGCTTACGTCAACCTTGCTTGTTGAATAAATCTATCATGTGTTCAGGAGAATACAAAGATTCCAATGTTCTCAGAAAGCTATTTTCCGTGATTACAGAATTTTGCTTGTCTCGAAATGAAATAACAGTTACAGTTACAGTTTTCTGAATAATGCCGGCAAATATTTCTATTTTAAGCAATGATGAGTATAATTTGATTACTTTCAAGTATAACCATAAAATATTCGTTTATCAGTTATATGTCTGTTATTACGAAACATTTTATATATTTATTTACGTTATTCCAAGTTTTAGTACTGTGCTATGATTTTCTTTGACGTCAGTATTGAAAGATCTGACCTTGTTTATGGCTGACAGTTGTTTTAATTTCTAGATATGCTTCAGTTGTGAGAATACTCTCCTTACTTGACAATCCATAACGTCATATCAGGATCAGATCCCATTTGCTTATCACTGATGCTGCTCAAGTACGTAAAAGCTTCCACTTTTTCCGGAGATTCTCAATGAAGTTGGGTTTGATTGGTGGTCTCATTGTTGTACTTCGGGATCTTGGTTCTTCCTTTTTGGATGCTGAGACGTACTTCTCAAGAGGCTTCTGTTACAATGACTGAATTCTCCTGTGTTTGTTGTTGTGCATACGAGAATCAAGACTGGGTCATCTATGATGTCCAAGTCGTCTAGATGGATCCAGGCAGCAACTGGTGGAAAAAGAAACCGTCAAACTATGAAGCCTTGTCTGACACTAGTATTCACTTGGAATTCATCTATCAACTACCGTTCATATATATGGTGGTGATGATCTTCTCACGTATTCCATATTGCCGAAAGTGGAAAGTGGATCTGCAGTAAAGAGTTCCACTCAAATGATTGTTCAACAGCTATCCATAGTGTCGAGATTCGGTCGGCACATGATCTATCATTACGAAATCCAGCTTGCTGATCTCGAAGTTGCCTGCCCACTGAGTGTTTTATACGATTCGACAACACTGTGTTGAAAACTTTCCCTAACATGACAGTAATGTGTTTTCCCCTCAGGTTTCTCACTATGATTTCCTTTCTTCAGTATCTTGATGAGGTATCTCTTACTTCTGCCTGTTAGTACGTGTTCTTCCCATCATGTGCTTGTGAAGAAAACGTGAATCATATTTTCAGTTACCTCTATGTTGAATTCCAGTGTTTCAATGGTTATACTCTCTAATTCTGATATTTTGTCACCCTTGTTTTATCTGATGGCTATGTTGATTTCATCTATTGTTGGTGAGGTAACATTTATGGGAAGGTCTGTGTGTGCTGGTTCGACATATGGGGGATTCAGTGGAGTTCGCCTATTTGGAAGCTTTTCAAAGTGTTCTATCCACCCGTTCCTCCGCTCTTGAATCCCAGTTATTGATTTGCATTAGTTGTTTTTGACTGGTAGCTTCAGTCTGAAACAAATGCCTGGAAGGTTCTTCTTTGTATCATATAGTTGTCTCTTATTTCCTTCTCTTGCAGCTTTATCTATTTCAATCATCGGTTTGATTTGTATATTCAGCCTCTACCATGACTTTTTTGTTTTCTCCGCTGCTATCTCTTGTCTTTTCTTTCCCAGATCTTGTCCAGCATATCAACAGATATCAACTGTTTATTCTGGTGCTTCTTGTAATTTGGCATCTCCTTGGATGTTGAAGTTATAGCTTCTTCAATCACTTTCCAGTTCTTCTCAATAGTCGTACCCATACCTTTGATTAGATCTTGTGTGGCTTGAAACCTGTTGTTGAGAGCTAACTTGAATTTGGCGAACTCCTTAGCATCTCAAAGGAAGATTGTATCAGACTTTGTAACGCTGTTTCTCCAGTTTTCCAGTGCTTCTTTAGCTGTGGTTTCACCCTAGCAACCCTCAAGTGGTGATCTGAGGCTAAATCAGCTATTCTATTTGTACTTACTTTCTCACAGATCCTTTGAAGTTTTTATTGATGAAGTGTCAAAGATCTGGTTTTCTGTAATGTGAATCGGTAGAACTTACGTAGCTTTGTGCATGTGTTGGTGGTGAGAAATGGTGCTATATATGACCCTGTTGTTGAAAGTACTTAAATTTGCCAGTCTTTAAAGTCCATATGGTCTCATGATATCTTCATACCCACTATTTGCATATTGACCTTGATATTCAGATCTCTCATCACAATGGTCAAGTTTTACCGTGGACAGGTCTCTACAATGAACTGCAGCCTCTCATAAAACTGATCTGTATCGAAGACACCGCCATCATTTGTGGGAGCATAGCACTGGATGAAATTGATTGCAATCCCCTCCTTCTTTGTTTTAGAGGAAGAGTTTGAACGATCAAAATTATTTCTTCTGACTAGTGTTTTTTTTATAGAAAAATTATATATTATTGAATGTTGTTGCTAACCCCACACCTAACCCTACACCATTATCTGAGCTTTGAACCGGCAGCAGCACAAGGAGGGCTCTAGGTGGAGTTACTTTCAGATATAACCGTAAAATATTTATCTGTCATATGTTTATTACTGTATTATCTTTTTCACATTCATTTAAGTCATATTATTGCTCTAATACATTTATTAGCTTTCAAGTAATATCGTTTTACAGTTTAATGGATTAATTAATATATGTTTATCAACAAAATAGTCAATTATTCCGATAGAAATCTACATTCCATTATTTGTTGATATAATGCGTTACTCACTTTTTCGTAAAGTTTCATAACTTCGTCAGACTGTTGATTTCCTTGAATTATTACATCACGACTACCGTCGAACGTATTCAAATCAGAAATCCGTAGTTTCTTCTCGTATAATTGTTTCGTGTCTCTAATTCTGGAGTCAGAAATAAATAATGTGGAAATAGAATTAAGCGTATTGAGGAGCCTTCAAATTAAGATAAACACAAATAAGTTGAGTAGACTCCAAAATTTCGTGTTCAAATGTTTCTCGAACCTTCAGATATAAGATCAAACTAAATAAAACACTACAAATTATGACAACACTGATATTTTTAAGTTTTGTAACTGAATAACAGACATGGTATTGACAGTTTGAGGTCTCCTTATATTACAGACCAAAGTGAAGAATTATTGGACAACTTCATGTTGGATACCATCTGGAATCCAATTGTTTGTACAGAGAAAATAATGATGGTACAGGAAATTCGAGTTAGAAGCCCAGAGATCGGGAACAAATACGCCTTCGCTTCAGAGTTCATTCTACTTAAACATGATCATATAAAACACTAATTTGATTACAATGATTTGTTTGACAATGACAACAAAAGTGTAGTTTAAGCAACAAATATATTAGTAGCAACAGTATCAGTTATAATGATGAAGCAATGAATATTTTAGGGATCGAAATCGAGATATTTCAGCATTCAAATTGGTTTGGAACTTGTAAGGGAAATCAAGAATTTTGTAATACTGACGAATTAGGGGTTTGTGTTCAGAAATGGTAGTAACAGAAATAAACAGTGATTGACTTCGCTTGTATAGGAAGGAACCAATAAGTCTTAATGAAAATTCTTACATATTGCAAATTTTGCTTCATATGGATTCAGTTGAAATAACACAACCATTTAATAGTATCTTTGAAGTCGACTCTAATGTTGAGAGCAAGTGTGAATAATCGATGAAATATTTCTGGTTGACTGTAAATATAGTTTATTTAAATTGTGCACTCACATAGTCTTTAAAACCATTAATATCTAGAAAGGAATTAAAATACTGTTTTGTCTCAGAATATAATCATCAAATGATTACTAACTTGTGGTTCCCCAAATGGCAATGGATGATTGAATTCAGTGATATAGAGTGTGTTATTATTAACCCAGATTCGAACAATTCGTCTATGGGTAACACGCTTCACTTTTTGAATTAATGAGAATTCTAATGAATTAATTTTTGTTGTATTGGTGAAGTTCCATATTAGGTAGTTGTTTATTACACCTGATTTGAGTAAAAGACATGGGTTTCAACTTCTCAACTAATTGTGTTGCATAAACCTTTACAGTTTGGAACTAATTTCGTCGCAAATGGAGATTACCCTGAGAACCATTGGAAACTCAACAGTTCTAGGCAATCAATGTTTCTTCGTTCGAGATCGAGGTTTGGGTACACTTACAAGTACATAATAAGTCGAACAGAAAGGTTTCAGGTTTTATGTTGAAATAAGTTTCCACATTTCTAGTGACAAGCTGAAGCCTGTAGAGTTTACAAGTTAGAGATATGCATACCCACTAATGACTTTAGATCATAATTGTGTTATTTTGCTAATCGACTAAGTTGAAAGCAATCAGCAGTAAAAATCTAACTCAAAAAGTGAATGGTGCAGTTTCGTTTTGTGGTTCAGATTTGCTGGATTTCAACACAGAGTGTGTTGACGATGAACACACATAAGTAATCTAGACAGAGGACAGAACAATTGTCAATTTTCGTCAGGTTTTCTATAGTCCTCCAGTTATTGATTATCAACAATACAAACTATATTTAATTTTATTTCATGGGCTGTTACACTGATGTTACTTAAATATGAAAAACAATATTCACCAACTCGTTCAAATTACTTAGTCTCGTAACCACGAACTCATCTGCAGAGATATCGCAACGCTTTAAAACAAATCACTCAATGTCATGCATGGAGAAAAGACTACTTTAATGGAAGCGAACAGTGACTGAAAAGGCCATGATACAAAAAAATAGTGAGGTTGGTTTGAAAAAATTCAAAATAATATGGTGAGCAGTTGGAGATGTCAAATCGTCGTTACTCTAGTCAGGGAACTGAAAGATCGATTTTTCTCATCTTGAAATATAAGATAATCATCATAAAAGTGAAGCAAATAAACAAATTTATCTGTTATTATTTACACAGGTGTGCCTATGAACAACAGCATTAACCATTCTTCAACATAGATCATTTCTCCTTTGAAGCGGCAATTCTCATCAACCCTCGAAGAATTTTTAGATCTACCTGAAATATACGAAATGAAAGTGATTGAATTATTTTAGTCAATGGATAAATGAATTATCCATTGTTTGATTGTTAGTTTTAATAGAAACAATAAACAGAAAGAAGTAGTTAATTTTTCGCAATCAGCATGTCTGATACAAAGTTAGGGTTGATAAAATGCTACGTAACATTCAAATTACACTACGTACATTATGTCAGATCCTTTAATTTTTCAAAAAAAAATTAGCTAACACGTGAACGATTTCATTCAGTAAGGTAAGAAAGAAATATTAGTTTCTAAGCCATTGAAGCTCTACCACTGTTGTCCTTTCAAGATCCTACGGTAAACGTTTCCATCAACACCATGAGAAAATTCATTGTCTACTTTGTAGATTTCTTCGCAATTCATTTCTAATATTCATAAAGCAAAACTTCACTTGTAATAACATACATTTATTTTCTTGATATATGAGCAACGTTTATCCCATAAATGTGACTAAAACCAACCAATTTTACATCGGGTACATTAACATTAAGTCGAGGAAAACAATATAAAACAGAATATCACTTGTTTTACCTACTATGCAAATGAAACGTCATATTTGAATGAGTTTTGTATTGAAATGTTTGAATGCAGTGTGAGAGTGTAAATTCTTGATCTTGTATTTTATAATTTACAAGAGCTTTCAATAAATGAAACTCTTATGGAAGAATATCTAATGATTGTTCATTGGCATTTGTTGGATGCGTTATCAATATATCTTTAAGTTGACAGAAGATTAATTGAAAATTGTAACTCACTTTTTGACGAAACCTTGTTTAAGAGGATAATTTCAAAAGTGGTGAACCTGTTTAAATGTATCTAAAATAAATTAGAAAATAATAGAGGTTCAGTTGGCTATGGGAACTTCAATAACAAATCAATACATCGTCAAATTCCTACTGGTTTCCATTTTCGTGATAGATCATGAACACACGAATGTTACGGGATTGTTTATCTCTCAGATTTTAAACTTAATTTTTATGGTAATAAGTTTTACATGAAATAATCCATCACATTACCTACAAAAATTGAACGATTGCAATTGTGAGAAATGTTTTCCAATTACTTTAGGGATGTTGAGTGCTCTTCAGTTATCCCACTCTTAAGGTCAATAATGAGTTTTCAACTAACAGAATGTGTTATTTTTGAGCAGGAACTTTCTGAAATTATTTCTTCTGTTAGAAGGAATGACTAGCTAGAACTACCAATATCTTATGAAACAACCGAAATCTTAGTAACTGAGACGATTATTTGACCGTATGCATTGAATACAAATCAATAGACATAAACCATAAAATTTGTTGTGAACATGGTTATAATCCAAATCTTATAAATGATACGAATATATGAAGATATGTTAATAAAGGAGTGAAAAAGATCATCTTAAGTAGTTGTGAAAGTATGCAGGTAAATAATGGCATATAACTTTTAGAAATCTTACGTTTGCTTCTTCATATATTATGAACTCATTTAGTAGGTACTGGTACTTATATCTATAAAAAAATCGTTTAGTTTGAATTCTAAAATACTGTAAACTATCAAATCGGTGATAAAGCTCGTTAAATTCAATTACAACGAATATTTCTTATGAGTGATATTGAAAACACTAGGCTTCAACAAGGAATTAACGAACTGATGGAATGCTCCAGGCATGTTGATAACACTTTATTGTCTTCAACATTAATCAACATACAATGTTAAAATTCTCCATCAAGGCTCATCATAATGCACAATTTATTACGGGGAATAAAAAGAACGACATGTTTCACCTTCTTGACAATGTTATACAACGGAGAGTAGATGCTACAGTTCAACATTCGGTTAATAGAACAAGTTCTAGAAATGGTTTACACTAGAATTTTAATATGTTTCAGTCGATTATAAGAAAGCATGTACCATTGACAAGCTGTATGATGAGTTAGCTAACGTGGAAAAATGTCCAAGAGAAAACTACTATCCACAGAAATTTATTGAGTGTTATACAAAAACTGAAGATAACAAGAAGGATGTGGCTACAATCAACAAGCAACCAACATTTATTTATCTCAACTCCAAAAGTAATGACGGTGCAAGGACAATCATCATCCAGCATCAATGTTGTAAAATGTTCATCCATATAAGATATTCATTAACAATATTTTACTCAGTCTCTAACATTTATCTTCTACATTGTTCTAATACTGTGGTGATATGTTGTCAAAACACCTTCCAACTAAACTAATTTATGACAGTGATTTCCACCAATTTTGTAATTATGATTTCTAAATATTACGGGTAGTGAACAGTTGACGAGAACCCATAAGAATAAAGTGAATCCGTAGAACAAATGAAATGTACCTAGCGGTGAAATCGAGAATACGTGTTTTATAATATCTGGGACTCGTTGTGTGAAAATACTTTCAACCAAGTGTTAGTATTTACTGCGAAACTCGAACCCAGTACACTTCATTTCTATTGATCTGCGTATTATCCACCTAGCTACTGAGTACAGATACCCAATTACCTAAGCAATGCATACAGGATGCACGAATGTCTATCAAGACAGATCAAAGTTCAGTCAAAATGATCAACAACGGGATAATCAGAGAATCATTATAAACTGAATTTAAATAAATTCATGTTCTTCTGCTTAAATCTTTGTTCACGAGCTCTTCGAGATTATGACAGGAACCATATGTATGCAACTAATGTTTGTTGCTATTTGTGTACGGTGACATTACGGACTTCCTTTGAATGGAGAAAACATTTTTTACGCACCGTTAGATTACTTTGACAAGTAAATATATGCAAACAAACATAGTACAAATTGTAGGTATCATTACCAAGACTTGATTTGATAATTTTGAATAAATTGAGTATTGGGTAGATTGCTATAAATAAAAAATATATTTGTAATATCCCAATGAGTAGAAAAATTATATTTTCTGACGTTTCGTGACTCAGTGTAAGCCACTTCTTCAGAGAATAAATAAATATATATAAATATATATAAATATTTATTTATTTATTCTCTGAAAAAGTGGCTTACACTGAGTCACGAAACGTCAGAAAATATAATTTTTCTACTCATTGGGATATTACAAATATATTTTTTATTTATAGTACAAATTGTTATAGAAATCTACACAATAGATTATGCCACATTACTTACCTCATCGAAAGTTGGGTTTGTTTTCGGCTTTGAAATTAAAAAACATGTCTCAAATTCCTTTCCCAATATATCGTTTCTTAAACATAAAAATCCCGTACCTACACGTTTGAGTATCATATCCTTGGTTAGTAACAAATGAAAAGGTAGCATGCCTAAAAATTCCTTCTCTGGTAAAGTGATCGTTAAATCCAATAGAGATATATTCTTATTGAGTTGATTATCTTTGTCTAATAATTCAATCCATGATAAACCTTTATTGTATAACTTAAATGTGTATATGTATGTAGCTGCTTGCTTCTTTTTATCAACTAACTTTGCACTAACATCCAATTGAAAATATAATTTGGCAATATATATTAGTTGACTTCTCAAATAATGTGCAAATTCTTCACGTATGGAAGAATAGATCAAAGTGATGACATTGTGATTGATTGAAGTGACTTGTATATTAGGTGCCTTAATTTTTGGATAAGAATAATGTAAATACTCGTGCAGTTCATTAATATTATGTAAGAAATCGATGTAATTTTTACCTAATACTTGTAATGAACTCTGGAAACCGTTATCACTAAGATAATCGACAGATTTGATACCGAATTCATAATAAATATCTTCTTCAGGTAGACCAATAAACTGACATAATGTACTAATTATTCGTGTAAGTAATCGTGTAGAATAGTTCTTATTAGTTTGTATTTCAAGTTGTTGTCCGTTGACTATTTGTACAGCAGCCTCCCATGTTGATGGACCGAATGTCATATCAACATAATTCCGTAGAATTTCAAATAATAAACCATACATTTACTTCTCTATCTTAATGAGTGAGTTAGGAGAGATTTATTCTCCCATTTATATATATATATATATACATATACATATATATATATATATATATATATATATATATATATATAAATATATATATATATATATCATTTAAATACTCTTCGATGAACGAATAGTGACCTTAAAACCAATCCGAATGAATAGAGAATTTTAGAAACAGATTTTGTTTACTCAAACAAAAAGTTTCAAATCATTATCACAATTAAAATTGTTAATTGTTCTCCATTATGCTCCAAAATATTTTGCCTCATTATACTTGTTAATTAAGGTTGAATTTCAAAATGAAACGCTCACTTGAATGATTGAAGATAGAGTAATAATTAGACTCAGAATTCAACATGAGCAAAGTACTTTTCTCAGATGTTACGAGCTAAATTCATTTTAATTGATACATTGAGACTCCATCGAAATTATCGAACCCGTATTTTTCCAAAACATTATTCAACAGTGTTATGTAGTGGTTGGAAGTGGTCGATAGGATACCTTAAACCTAACTTTTGTACTATTTGTCACATTTTATCAAGGTGTATCTGTAATCTTGACAGAACTGTGGCTTACTGGTGGATTTGAACCGTGTCAGTTTATATTTTATAGACAGATGAAGCAACTGAGTAAATCATAGTTAAAATTAATACATTATGCACAGAATTGTTCCAATTCAACTAATTCAGTAATCAATTGAGTGGAACGAACTACGATCACAGATTTGATGAATAATTTCCATTATCCCACCAACTCTATCAAAGACACTTTCATATCAGACGACTTGTGCCGATAATAGATGAATATCATTGTCATCGATTCTAATAACTGTCCTCACATTCAGAATGAACTAGCAATCCTATTGAGATATAGTCTCAGAAGTACATAGTATTATTATCAAGTCTATGAGTTCTGGAGACTGATGTTTTTTTTTAAATCAAGACATTCTAACGCTGTTGAACTTTCAGTGAGTGATTACAATGAAAATATGAATCACTGAGATCAGTCTATTGCAAAATGACAAGTTGTAAACAACATTGATCTAAGTAAACTGTTATTTGAATTTGAATGAAGCAATAACGAAGTCGAAGTGAACTGTTGTAAATTTATTATGCACCGTGGGCTCTCGCCAATTGTCTACAACTGTAATCAAATTAACTAACTGTGTTAGACGTTCATAACTGACAAATGTCATTACGGTTTACGATAAAAGTTTTTGGATAGATTGTCGTTTGATGAATGACCTGAAAGTGCGATAACACTGTTCGTGACCTTTGAACCTTTGATTTTATACTGGCAATTTGATTGTTAATTATGAAAAACAATTTGATCACATTACTTTAGCAAAACAGGCATGTCTATATAACAATTATATCATACAGAACAATAAGAAACTGAGTAAAATAAGGTTATAAGTGTAGCTCTGTTTTTCATTAAAAACTAAACGAAGTGTGATAAATGTCACGAATTGATGCGATAAACGTTTTTTGAATAGATTGTCATTTGATGAATGATCCATGAGTGTATAAATAGTTAGGGTAAAACTAGAAAACTGTTCGCAAATTTTATCTGGTGACTGTCAACGTTTGGATAAATTCAAACAAATTTGAAGAGTTAGATTAACGAAAATCATTCATTAAACCTAAGGATATTTCAGAAATTAGTACAGCAACTAAGTGACTAGAAACAAAATAAAATAAGTGAGTTATGAAGCATAATGAGAATTCAAGCTACTAATGTAACAACGACTTGAGTGTTTTGATAGCAGCTCATTCAACATATCACACCAACCCATTATTATGAACGACAGCGTAACCGATATCAATTGAATACCACTCGATAACCGTTTAGGAATTTGAGATCATGCAGTGGCAAATCAAAATGTAGTTGCTAATTTTGATTAATTATGAAAAACTACGTGATTACATTATTTCAACGAAACACATACGCCTATAATCATTGTGTTGGATGAAATGATATGGATAAGAGAAAAATGAGAAATTATTCAGGGCGTTACTTTTTGATTTTTATAAGAAAATGAAACAAAGAAAATAATGCCAATTAAGTTTACAGTCACAAGTTCCAATTGCTTATCCTGTTCGAAAATTTCAAGAAGTTCACACTCCGTCATTTCTACGACAAGATAAAATAAATTTGTAATATCTCCTGTCAAAAATATGAAAGGCCCCCAACCAACAATTATCCAAACCGATTACTAAACGAAAAACAGATTACAAAACTAGATAAGTGTAGAAGGAAACTAAATGTATCTGAGTCAGTGAATAGCTATCTTGTCACAGATTTCATTTATTCCACAACAATTCGTCATGATTTTGTGGTGTTTTATCTCTAACATTTCGAAGTATTCCACGATCACCCATGAGAATCTGGAAGTATCTTGGATGATCAGATCACTCTAGCCACACAAATTCTGGTGGATGCAAAAATATAAATAATGGTAAGATGACGACTCGGCTTGAAATCGGAAACCCACTAATGTTAAGGAATCTAGATTTCAAGGAAGAAGTAAGGAAAAGTTGATTCGACGATGAGAGGGTTGTCACCACTCACACAAGTGTGTGTCCTCAGATCACTTGAAACCACTGTTAATACGTCTTCTAAGAGTTCTTCAACTCAGAAGAAAAAACCACAGAGAAATCCAAAGGAGCTCTAATAGGACACCACTAATCTCGAGAATTCCATAAAGAGACTGAGACAAACGTTGAAATATGCGACCATGAATTCTCAAGAACACAAAATAAGTACAATGAACATACATCCACAAGTGTTTAACGTGCTTCTTTGGGCAGCATCGAAGCAACTCCATGAGTGTGTGGAGCATTTCCCTCTTCGTTACCTAATTACAGCAGCATCTCTCCCGTACCTAATTTTTTATGTCCAGCTTCGGTCCAATGTGTTTTGGTGATTCGGAGCGCTGTCGAGTTGTTTCTCGTCGTTTTCGTAGCTCGTTGATTGATTTTTCTGGTCTCGCACATTATTTAGACATTCCATGTACGTGTACTGATTGTTGTTCTTTTTATTAGAAGTGGAATGACCCTCATGACTTCCAAAGAATCTCAGCTTTCATCATGAGGTATTATAATTCTTTTGACTGACAATTCTTCATTCCGGAAAGCATAATTTAGTTGGTTTAGCTTGTCTAATCTGGTTAGCGTATTTTAACGAGATTGTTTTCTACGTAATTGAGTTACGGACCTTATGTTCAACACTCTTCGTTTTCCCGGTCTTGGGACCGGGAGAGAAACAGGCGAAGTGTTATCTAGTGTTAATCTGGTTCCCTATTTTGGGTCGTGAATCCTAGATTTTACATAGTGTGGTTGGTTTTATTATCGTATTAACGCGTTACCGTAATATATGTGAGAGTGAGAAAATTTTTTAAACATTCGTTATATTGGAGTCACTTGCATTTTCTACAATGTATTGAGCAGTCTAGTGATCCAAATCTATTAATTGCACGATTAAGTTATTGCTTCCATTATGACTTTATTATCTAAGATTGAGTGATGTGGTTTGCAGTGTAGGCTTTTACGTCAAGCCTATATAGCTTATCCGAGTTGGGTTATACACTTTCTTCAACGCTTATTATTTTGCTCTACTATTTTCTCTTCGCTTTCGTTTCTTCATTTCTTCAATCGTTTGTCTGGATCAATGATTATATGAAATATACACATTCGAAACCCATTCTCATATTTGACTTATTTAATTCCGTTATTCACTTATGCGATTTAAGTCGATAATTCGATACGACGGTATCTGGGATGTATATTTCAAGTACACGATCAGCCTGGAGTCAGATATAAGGCCACTAAAGTTTTGAATTAAAGTTATTGACTGAAATCTGACACTTTTCGAGCATAATTTTGAAAATTCAATCTACTACACCACACATTTAGTGTATCTGTAAAATGAAACCATTTCAATGCAAATTGATAAGTTGTTTAACAGTCCATTGCTCAGTATGATCCTAATGACCATTCATTATGATTTTAAACTAGTTTACCTGTAATAGTGGAGTTGCTAAACTGGATTATATTAGAAATATAAACTATTAATAACAAGAATCAATCCAAATGTCATTTACTTTTGTAGGAAAGTGATCACCCGTAAGATTAGGTAACGTTAATCTGTATTAATTCAGTGTACAATCTATACATATTATCACTATTACAGTTATACATGATATTCAATCATGGATGTATTTGTTTGAAAATCTATTGTTGTGTTTTGAACGGTAAAATACATCATCATTTACCACTATTGTTCGTATTTCTAATTATGTCGAGTAATATTTCAATTTTCTCAGTTATTTAAACTCTAAGTTCATTTATGATATATATTTGATGATTAAATATTATCTTGTTAATATCAATTGAGAAAGATAAAAATTAAGGTGAATTTATTTTATTATTCTGTTAGAAAGAAATGGTTAGTGAGCACTGCTGAGAAGTCCCATATTAGAACGAAACGGTCGTTCAATGCTTCCAGGTTTTCAGTAGTGTCCTGATATTGATCGGGTCATGATATCGACTTAAACTGATGAGAAATGAAACAATTATACTTCAACATGTTTTTAACACATCAGAGGATTTTATCATGAACAATTTAGCAACAAACAACATCGAATTTAATCATTATTAAATAGAAATAGAAACTAAAAATATGTAGTATCTTCCTTTCAGAGATATGTGGATAACATTAATTAAAGGACAGAAAAATGTACTAAGGATTCACTACGTTTAGCAGTGAATTTAAGTTTATCACAAAGAATGATATAAAATTCGCTTGTACCTGTTTTCAAGTGAGACAGAAATTCAATGAAAAAGTAATTTTATAGTTATGGTAAGGTCAATTACATAGACTAATACTTTACGACACATAAAAATGTAGCATAGTCCATTTTCTCTAAAATATTGTTCCACTTCTGGCAGTTTCATGAGTCTTCACTCATAGACTTTTGTGAAAATTTGCACAACCAGTCGCCTAAATATTGAAGTGGATTTTCAGGTTGAACAATACCGATCTCTGTTAATCCTAATGTTAATGGATTTACTATTAAATAAAAAAGAACACAGTGAAAACTATTATAAGATTACATTGTTTATTGCGGTCACTAACGGCAAAAACAATAGTAATTTAATCAACAGCTGAATTTTCGAACAGCTCGTAAAATCTGTTCATATGACATTGATCTTATCGAAATTGAAGAATAATTGACGGCTGAGTAAGAGAGTGTGGTTTAAAAACGTATTCACTTCGAAGGCTTTAGAAAGTAATCATTTCAAGATGGAAATATATGCTTAATCGCAACTTGGCCATTCCCACATTTCACTGACGCCCTATTTACGTAAGACCATGAAATAATAATTTCACTTGGACATTTCTTCATATTTATGAGTTATATTAGCTACAGATTTGCCTCGTTTTGGGCACCTTTGAAAGCCAAAGAGTACTAAACAACTGTTTCATTTTAGTGCTCACCAATAACATTGCTTTTGGTCAAACTAAGGATCTTATGGTTATACTGATTAGGTTGGAAGTCAAACCTTTGGATCATCATCAAGTGATATATATATATATATATATATATATATATATGACTTCAATGAATTACTGATCACTGACTATCAGTAGTGACTAGTCTCTCTCCCTTTAAGTTTGAACTTCACTGACATTAACTTCTTACTAAAACACCCGTAACTCAGCTTGGATTTAATCGATTGGAAATACGATATAGTGTTAATGAGATATTTTCATCTTTGTCATGTGGGAAATTAACTTTCATACCTCTTTTATAACCTTGCTGTATCTCAATATCCTTTAGACTGTTAAGTAATTTCAGTCGGATACTTAAGGTTTTCGATCACTTTGTTAATGAAGTAACGCATATAGGTTGTGCTCTGTGTGATAGAAATATGATAAACACTGTAAACAAAAATTTCCACATCAAAATGATTTTATTTTTCCAAAGGATAGAGACTAGTTATTTGATGAGGCACTTTGATCTAACTATTATACCTAAATATGATCTTTTCTTAACTAAAGTATATCTAGGTTTTAAAAAATCTAGCCATCCTATAAATTCAAATGCATTTAAATTTGAAGAATTCATAAAATGAAACGTTTATGGACATTTTAAGATAAACCGGAATAACAAATTCTGGAATATCATCATAATACCAACATGAAACTCTCAACTAATCACCTCAGTTACCTCGTTGATATTTGAAACAAGAAATTCAGTAATTTTGTCTCTAAGATGTAACTTTTTCATAAATGTATAGTTCAAAGATCCTCAAACATTAAGTGTACTTAAGGGTCAGTTGTTCGAGGCGATTTGGAGATCGTTCATTTAGCTAAACCCTTACTAATTTATTTAATACGCCAACTGGTTTTCATATGTTTGAAAAATAAACTTTCTGGTCTGTTTGCCCCTAATTTCAACTATCAGTCTACTTTTTTCTTCCTCCAACTTAATCGACCCTAGTCGTCCAACTTAACTACATGAAAGTTGTTTACAATACCAGGTCAAAAATATCATAGATTATTTGTTCCCCACTGTTTGACAAAGCAGAAGCTTTAGGTATTCATGGGCTGAAACCTGAGAATGAATATTTATCTTAACTATGATGCGTACTTCGTCACATAATTTCTAATATTATTTTCATTTCACTTACTTAGTCACGGATAGATATACCTATTGCTATAATGTAACTGAAGCACCAAACATCTAAATCCAAGAGACTAAAATAATTTGTTTATTCGTTTCACTTTCATGAATTTTCATGTAAGAATATAAAACATGAAGATATTTCTCATGGCGAGACTAATTAATGGACGAACAAATCGGATTTAATACAGCAGATCTTGGATTTTGGTGCTAAATTTATTCACTCATTTGGCTAAGTACCATTTTGGCATTATAGCTGATGTCCGTTCGTGATGAAAAAACTAAATCTAATTTCTAACGCTAACATTCAACTGTAGATCCTTATTCTAATTTTGCACACTAATATAAAGCCCTCATTTGACCGTAGAGGGTTAGTGGACATCGGTCTCATCAGTTTTGTGGCCTTATATATAACTCCAGGTTGATTTTATGAACGATTGTTATTGAAATATTCATCCCAGCTACCCTCGTATCGAATTATCGACTTAAATCGTGTTAGTGAAGAAAGGAATTAAATAAGTCAAATATGAGAATGGATTTCGAATGTATATATTTCATACAATCATTGATGCAGACAAACGATTGAAGAAATGAAGAAACGAAAGCGAAGAGAAAAGAGCGGAGCAAAATGAGGCAGGGTGGAGGTGTATCAGCCAACTCAATTTAACCAAGCGTTAATAGATATTCGTAGTCGAACAAAAATAAGTTACTGACATGTGATAAGATAAGAAATGCACACACATACGGTCATATAAAAACAGTCAAGGTCGATAAACGACTAATTAACAAGGTCATAATGTGGGCTTGCATAGCAACCAACACCACAAAAGATTATATACAGTAACATTATGAAGTTTTAGCTTTTTATGTTAAGAATTTCCCAAAATAATTCAGATCAATACGAAGTCTATAATTTTGTTGATTAAACAAATAGAATAAAATAATTTCTCTTACCGATATTTTGAAATATTACCGATTTAGTAGATTTAAAAGATCGCATTAAATCTACTTGTTCATCTTCATTCATTAGTTTGTTTTTATATTTCAAATCTAAAAATTTAAATAAATTCAGGAATTTTGTTGATTGTTAGAAACAATATAAAAACAATATAGGCATTTTAATGAAGTTTTGTTCTCTGGACTGTATGGTTTGGTCGTAGAGCTTTCACCGTTCATCTAAACGACATCATCAGCACAAACTTCAGGTAGAAAGCTCAATAACCAAACCATCCAGCTTGTAGAACAAAACTCCATTAAAACCATCCATCTCAGCTACAAATCTTTTGCACCATCTTATAGTATTAATCTTTTTTTGAGATCAGATTTAACTTAAAAATCGATTAATGTAATCTAGTTTTGACGATTTATGAATATCGAATTCTTTTATCAGATTTTTGTCATAGTAAATAGTAAATCTAATCTCACTGTGTAATTCAACATTATTAGATGAACAGCTAATTGATAATTGAAAATGATCTAATTTAACAAATGATAAAATGGTCATGAGTTTCTTGAATGTTACAGATATGTTTTGATGATACGAATTGTATTGAATGTTTCAAGAGTAAACCTCCCAACGAAATCATATTAATTTATTCAATTATGACGGTTTTCGACTAGATCAGTAAACTTGGAATAGGCCATTAAGACTAGTTCCCGGAAAGTAAAACGTTTACTTACTTTTAGCTCTGTCTGTCTTTTGAAAAGTCTTTATTCATATAAAAAAGTCACCAAAACAAAAAAAAGACGTGAAAAATAAACGATACAATAACCAAATAACAAATTACTGTTTTGTTCTACTGTTTTAGATTTTGGTAAACTTTCTTTGGATTGCACATAATCCATTTCTTTAGACTGTAATTGACGTTTATTTTGATTATTGTTGAAACAAAGTTGAGTCGAGACATTATTTTGAATAAGTATAGTGTCATGTGTCTTGAAATTTATTTCTTCAGTTTTGTCAATATTTTGAATTTCTTTTACTTCTGTTTCATCTTCAGAATGCGTAGACGAACTTGATTCACTTCCATTCTGATAACCACAAACTTCTGAATCTGAATAGTTTAGTTCATTTATTTGTCTGCAGTGATTTTCAACATCTTCTTTTAATAATTTTCGGAAGTTTAACTCTTCTCCAGTTGTTGTATCAGTCATGGTAAAGTTTTCTTTGCGGCCTTTAACGAAATAAGTAGTCATTTTTCCTTTACCCTATGTAATATTATAAAAAATACTCATTGAAGCTTCCATTGAAAGTTGACAGTGCTGAATGAAAATTGATAAATATAGCTAAGAAAATAAATAGAAATACTAATTTAAAATTAATCCTAATTTATCTTATATATGTTTAACGAGTTGTGATAGTGAATTACTTCCAAGTAAATGAACCATTTATATTAAAGATAGCAAGAATGAAGATTGGTACACAATAAAATGAATTCATTTTATTTCTTTAGGTTCTTGTTATATCCCGAAGCGAATTATGAATAGTAAATTTTGAGAACTATTTATGGACCAATATGATACTTATATTTCCTATTGTATAATTGTTAAGTAACTTAACTGTATATTTTCATGTTCATTTTATTATGAGGTTTACTTTGACACATACACTATTGCTGCATGATTTACCATTCTTGAGTTATCCCCAGTCTATCAATCAAGGTTCCCCACATTCACAGCCCCTTTGGGCTGAATCTTGTACAAATATTATTTTCTATTTTATGGTACGATGTGGTCATTTTGTTTGGTATATAAACCCAGTATGTTTGAGAATAATGATTCATATTGCAGAGGCTGTAATTGCTATTTTGGACTTAATTGGCTGGGCTAGGCAGGAAGCAGGACCGCTAAGTACTGTAGACTGCTCATACGGGTTTTATGTGTCACTGGTCAGATTGATAATTCACTGTATTCTAATTGGCGGTCTTATCACGACGTTATGCATCAATAGGGCATCCACTTGGCGTTCTCAAGTTATAATAGTTCTCATTAGCTGCTTACAACCAATAACATTGTAAAATCAACGTTATTACAGATATTGACATACTTACAAATACAAGGGTGATTCGGGATGATTATTGGTATCATGATGTAGCGAAGATTCCAAATGAGCTAATAAATCCATAAAAACTTCGTTTATAATACTAATAGCTGTTAGTGATTTTTAGGTTTATGTTTGTGTTATATGATTCCATCTTGAGATACACTTTCAAGTACACATTTATCTTAAATAATGAAATACATAAAGGGAACTTATTTTATGCTGTTTAATACTCAGTGTATACTTAGTTTTACTTATTTAATTATGTAGTGTGTATTCTAAACAAAAAGTTAATAAATTGCTTTTATGGTTTTATTGGCTGATAACAATCATCAAGGAAATGTAGATCAGTGTTTATTTTTATTAGCAACACTGACTGGTTCAATACAATAGTGCAGAAGTAGGTTCATTAACTAAAACGTTGATTCATGATGACATTTACTGTTATTGCAGATTTACCTCAATAATAACTACCAACAAGAATGATTCTTAGTTAAGTGATATTTCACTTGACCACCTCTTTGTTATAACGTGTGGATTCGTAATACATATGGACGTGCAATTAGAGAGATAGCTATCTCCTATCTTGCATTGACTTTCTCGAGTCGACCAGTGATGTCTACTCAAACGAAGGATAAGTTACCTGAGTTGGCCTCCTCCATGTGCATTTATAAGTTCAGCTGCTCCTGTGGAGATAGCTATATCGGGCGTACTACTAGACAACTTAACCAACGAATGAGTGAACATCTACCAGCATGGTTTGGAAAGGGCCAAATAAAAACAATACGCAGTTCTATCTTGGCACATCTAATTGATAGTGGTCATATTGTCGATAAATTGAAATCATTTCAAGTGATCTATCGTATACCTCCATCGTTTCCCAACGGAGTTCGCTCCCGTCTACTTCATATAGCAGAAGCCATAGGAATTCGTACATTCCATCCCAATTTATGTGTACAGAAGAAATTCGTAACCCCCCTATCCCTTCCATGGCCGGACATAACTTAATAAATGACATTATTTTTATAGAGTTGAGATCATGAGTCAATTGAAGCTAGACTACCATGGAAAACCTGGAAGCACTGGACGGCCGCTTCGTCCTATTATGGGACTCCTCAGCAGTGCGCGTCCACGAACCCACTCTCGCGGGATTCGAACCCAGGACCTACCAGTTTCGAGCCGAAGCCCTTAACCGATAGACCACTGAGCTGGCATCCAACGGTGTTAATTTCTAACTTCAACTGATTCACGAAATTGAGCAACCATTCACCAATGTCATCAGTGAGTTCCTATCTCACAACAGACCTGGTTGAACTCCACCGGTTACTGCTTCTCACTAGAACTCCAGGAAATACCTCAAGGAGTCAGTCACTAGTGACCAGTGCTTCCAGGTTTTCCATGGTAGTCTAGCTTCAATTGACTCATGATCTCAACTCTATAAAAATACTAAAATCTCCACAAAACCCCTTCTGATAAAATGACATTATTATTTATAAAATTTTATTTTTATTATCTTAATTTGGTTATCATTTTTGTAATTTTCTACCTCTTTCCGTTTGTAATCTTCACTATCTATTTACTTACATACTTCTTATTACGTAATGATTTTAATGTTTTGTGATTACTATTCCAGTCTATTTACCCACGTTTGACCTCTTAATTCTCAATGTTTAATTATTGATAAGACTTTTGTTATCGTAATTTACTATTCTTACTACTATCACCTGTCTTCCCACTATCAACTTGTACATTTAACTATTATTATGCTTGGTAACGTATTCTATTTCATTGTGATTATTGACTCAAATAGCCTTCATTGGTCTAACATTTTCATATAAATATTCATGTATATTAGAGTAAAGCCTGATGACGATCTAATTGAAAACAATTGTTCGCTTACATATGTTGTTCTAACTATACAATAGGAAATAGGCATATTACATTTGTCCATAAATAGACCTCAGATTTACCATTCATAATTCACTAGGGGATACAACACTTAATAGTCAAATATAGATGTATCTTATTCAGATCTACTAGAATAACAATTGAGTTTTATTTTATTTTATTTACATTATAGCAGAGGTGATGATACAAGAGTGTTTTTTAGGGTTAACTAAATTTGAAAATATTAATTGAATAATTTCAATCCAGTAAGTGGTTATATATATTGACTGAAACTACAATAAAGCTTGTAGGTATCATTACCAAGTTTTGATTTGATAATTTTGAATAAATTGAGCATTGGGTAGATTGTTGTAAAAAAATTAAAATATTTGTAATATCCTAATATAACATTGGGATATTACAAATATATAATTTACAATAAAGCTTCTTTCTAAATCCTGTGGAATTATATTTACAATTTATTTTCCAAAATTTATTATTTCATTTAAAGCCCAATAAAGTATTTATCTAAACATTTTTCTGCATACTCACCTTAATTGTTTGTTCACCTCGGTATTCCAGAATATAAGGATAATTAAAAAGGTTATTCGCTAAGTCCGAACTAATATGAACTGTATCTGGCTAATAAATAAATAAATGAGGAAAGCTAATTACCTAAAGTAACTCCTTTAAATGCAAGATATTCATGAAAATAGTATTTTATAAAGTCTCTGTGATTATAAATTCATTTAGTACTGTTTGTTTGAAACTTCCCATCGATCTGTTAGGACTGCAACTGGTCAGTCTCTTATTGGCATATGTGCATACTGTGCGTATTGACTCGATATTACCTTATTTCAAAAGTATTGTAAGAAAAGATGGATAGTGAGTAGAAGTGGAATCCAGAACACGCGTTTTGTCCTATTTGGGACTCGTCAGGTGGATGTACCTGCATCTCAGAGCTGAATGAATTTACACTTCACCCTATCGCGCAAGCAAGTGGCTATCAGAACTCAGTAGCTGAGTGGATAATGCGATGGCGTTTGAAGCGAACGGTACTGCGCTCGAGTCCCAGAGTGAACATCAACTCTGAGATGCAGGTACATCCAGCTGACGAGTTCCCAATAGAATTAAGAGTGCGTCCTTGATTCCACTGCTACTCACTATCCATCTTTGCTTACAATCTCTGCGACTAAGTATTATAGTTGAAATCATGAATCAAATGAAGTAAGACCACCATGGAAAACCTGGGAGCACTACATGGCCATTTCATCCTACTGTGAGACTCCTCAGCAGTGCGCATCCACGATTCTTCCTCGAGAGATTCGACCCCATAACCTATCAGTCTCACGCGTGAGCGCTCTATGATTATCAAATTTTAATTATTTGGAACAAAAGAACTATAAAGGTAAAATTCCCTTCACCTCTTACAAGGCAGTAATAATACGTAAAGGTAAAATGTAATCAATTTCATTTATATACTTTTATAAGAAAAGAAAACTAGCATTCTGTATGAATTCACTTGATCATGGTTTTATCTTTAATTTATAGTTATCATTATAAGTAGTCTAATTGTTTCAATAATAATTAATAAAGGTTTGATCTATTGATTTGGTCATTCAAGTGACTACGATTTTTTACAATATCTACAGCTATTCTTATCATTATGTGATTTTCACTATTGTTGGATTTCATTGAAATCATGAACCAATCTGAGTTAATCACCACTGAAAACCTAGAAGCATTAGACGGCTGATTTGTCCTAGTATGGAGCTCCTCAGAAGCGTTCAAACCACGTCTAAGGTTCGTTGATTTTTATAATCGCTACTAATTCTATCCTTTTGAGCATTATGATCATAACGACTACGGGAACACTGATAGGCTTGATTACATGATAATAAGTTTCTCTTCTATATAATTCATCTTTCTATAAATTGGACTTTTATGGTAAAGTTTGCTATATAAAATATGGTTTAAAAAAATTCTTACTTACGAGTCCAGTACTCATCATTCTATTTGCAGTATTTACTGTATCACCAAACAAACAATATCTTGGTGATTTAAACCCAACAATTCCAGCAACAATTGGACCAGTATGACAGCCAATGTATAGTTGTAGTGGTATATTTTGTTCATCTTGAGTTCCTGTTGAATTATCCGAAAAAGCTTCACTAGGCCAAAATAGATGTTGTTTTGTAACTTTTAGAATATCTAATGCCATTTCAATTATATGAGCTGAATGGAAAGATGATGGACTTGGAGCGCCAGATACCAGCATATAGCTATCATTAATTGTTTCAATCTTTTTATGTAATAGAAAATGGAATCAAATTCAGTTTATGGAATATGAAATATTCTACTAGGATTTATTATGGGCATATCAAAATCTTTCCGTAATGTGGATTATATAAATTCGAAATCCTTATTTATATATCTTATTATCAGAAGGGGATTTTGTGGAGATTATAGTAATTTTAATAGTTGAGTAAATTAAAGCTAGACCATCATGGAAAACCTGGAAGCACTGGACGGCCATTTTGTCTTATTGTGGGACTCCTAAGCAGTGCGCATCCACGATCCGAAGTTAGATATTAACACCGTTGGATGCCGGCTTTGTAGTCTATTAGTTAAGTGCTCGAGCGCGAGACTGATAGGTTCTGGGTTCAAATCTCGGGAGGCGGGATAGTGGATGCGCACTGTTGAGGAGTCCCTCAATGGGATGAAACGGCCGTCTAGTCCTTCCAGGTTTTCCATTGTGGTCTATCTTCAATCGACTCATGATCTCAACTATATAATATCTCTTATTATAAATAACATTGTAAATGATCATAAAACTTTGTGAAATTTAAAGAATTCAACTATTTGTAAAAAAATGTCATTTATTTATATAATGAATAAGAGTGATAACAATAATAATGAATAAAATGTTTATTATTTTCCTCTTTAATCGTAAGTAGGATATTTTAGTATGAAAATGTCAATGTACTTGATTTTAACAGTTGGTCTCAGCCTTCATTGAGTGTGGATTGCTGACAAAAATATCGATTAATTAACTGTAATGTAAATATCAGATGTGTACCTGTTATTTATACTCTAAAATTTAAGTAAAATATCAATGATTCGTATTAAACGATGAACCAGTTAGGGATTGATTTTGAAATATCCACAAGTTCAATTATTCGAAAAAACGTTTTTTAATTTCTGATAATTATTTCGTTAAAAATATAACGAAGGGATGATCTTTTAAAAAGCTTTATTTTTGTTGTTATATTTAAGGGAATGACTTTGAGTCAGGATTAATTATCTGGACACTCATACAGTACTTGTGTAGTGTGGTCTACTTATATCCATATAAGTAGTACATCGTGATGGTAAGACACAGAATGTATTTTGGCAGAATAATGAAGTGAAATGAAATGAAGCGCATTTGGTAGGGGAATGCATGAACAATGAAATTGGAGAAGATGAACTGATATTTGCAGAAGAAACAGTGAAGATTGAGGCAATTGATTGTTATTTTGCAAATTAACTGTTGACAGTATGGTTAACAGAATTTAGTGCAATAGTCTGTAATTTTTGCTTAAATACAGTCCATTGTCCCCACCAGTATTTTGTTCATTACACTTGGAGGTATGTCAGACAATCGAGATTCGAACCCAGGACCTACCAGTCTCGCGAGCGAGCACTTAACTAATAGACTACCAAGCTGGCATCCAACGGTGTTAATGTCTAACTTCGAATCTCGCCTTGTAAGAGGTGAAGGGAATTTTACCTTTATAGTTCTTTTGTTCCAAATAATTAAAATTTGATAATCATAGAGCGCTCACGCGTGAGACTGATAGGTTATGGGGTCGAATCTCTCGAGGAAGAATCGTGGATGCGCACTGCTGAGGAGTCTCACAGTAGGATGAAATGGCCATGTAGTGCTCCCAGGTTTTCCATGGTGGTCTAGCTTCAATCGACTCATGATTTCAACTATATAAAATCAGTATAATCTCCACAAAACCCTCCTTTGGATAAATTTAAAATTATCAATATTTACTAATTATAAATTTACCTTATAAACATTATGGGATTCAGTCATTGAATCATAAAGTGTATACATTTGATTTAATATATCAACAATTTTATGTGGACACATTCGACTAGAATAATTAGAAAAATTAACCACTTTAGTAAAACATATTGTCACTGAATCATATGCCTGAAAATTTTAATAAAATAAAATAAAAATTTATAATTTCGATTTATAAACTAGTAAATGTTTAAAAGAGAAACTATTCAAATATGTGTAATTCAAAGAAATTTAATAAAAATCTAATTAGATTGTGGTGTGTACTACTGATGATGACAGATATAAGTAGTATGTATCATCAATCGAAAGTGAAATGTTTGGCTGTAGAAGGTTAAGAAAATCAAAGAGAAGGGAACGAGAACAGAGTGTGCTTGGTGTGAAAACAAAGTAACAATCAAGTCTGAAATAATTGAATTGTATTCTGTAAATGAGGTATTTACTGTATGGTTCTCAGATTTTAATATAAGATTCCGTAATTTGGTTGTCCCAGCCTGTGTTCTCGTTTTCTACAAGATATTTTTACGATATTTAAAAGGTGTTTATCCATAAGACATTCCTTGTTGATATAAAATAACTAAATTTCTTGTTTGGTTCATAAAATCATCAAAAGTGAATGTATATAGATTTGTAAATACTAAACAATCTGAAACATTTCTCTATAGAAAAGAACTTCATCGTTTTAATCCGAAAGTAACAAAATAAGAACACAGATTATGAGTATGACAAACTGCAGCAATCAGGCAGTCATGAAATTGATTTATTACTATTACTCATAACTGTTAACGCTATACTCTAGTCTTAAGTCCAATTTTCAAGTCTAAATCAAATTTCTAACTACACTGATCGTCACTTTGTTTAGTTTCGCTTCTCTTTCTCTACTTCATTTATATGATTATCTGTCTAAATGAATGATTTTATGAAATATACGTATTCAAAACTAATTCTCGTATTTGACTTATTTAATTTTGTTATTCTCTGACACGGATTGAGTCGATGAAAATTTACGGAGGTTTGTGACATATATATTTCGATAACAATTACCATACGATTTAACTGAAGTCAGAAATAAGGCCACTAAAAGACAAAATAAACAAAATATACATTTACTCCTGAATACGTTAGCAGACAGCCAGACATTGTTTTTTCTATGATGAAAAATTTTAAAATAAGATGTGTAGAACAAAATTTCACCTTCATTGTTTCTGAAGCGTGTTTTCCTTGACTTATTTGTTGTGCAACTTCTTTAGGTAAACATTGTTCCAGCAGTTGATACGTTTTTTTTCGTTGTTCATCCAGTTTTCTGGCTATTTTTGATAACTGTTTACTTTTTCTTTTTTGCTACGGATACAAAACAGAATTGCAGTTAATCCAAGTGATAATTTAATAAACTCATTCTAGCTATCACCTACAAGAAGCTTGATGTCAAGAAACCAGTGAGTCTGAATAGAAATTAAAAAACGCTAGAAGACACTCCTTTCAAAAGAATTTTCCATAGTCTTCACACTAAACGACTAATTTGTAGTCAGGCTACCTATCGGATTATTTTAAAAAATGTATATATCCAAAAAACTTCTGTCGATCTAAAACAAACCTGTTGTCAAAACCATCGTTAAAAGAGATCACCTGAAGCTGTACAACATTCATAGAAGTAGAACTTTACATTCAGTTGGAACCGTAATAATTTACAGTTTAAATGAAACGCGGTTAAAACTGTCTTCTTATAGACAAACAGTCTTAAACTTTCAAATTGCCAGGATTAATTTCAGTTTTAACTTCTTCAAACAACATCACTACTATTATGGTCGATACAAATTATATTTCCTAGCATTAGTGCTGTGGTCATAAGTTTTTTGTTAAGTTAATAATAATAACAATTATTATTATTAGTATTATTATTATAACCAAAAGGGATAGTGTGTAGCAGTGAAATCCAAGACGCGCGTTTCGTCCTATTTGGGACTCGTCAGCTGTATGCACCTGCATCTCAGGGTTGATGTGCATTCTGGGACTCGAAACAAGTACCGTTCACTTCAAACGCCATCGCGTTATCCACTCAGTTACTGAGTCCTGATAGCCACTTGCTTGTGCAATGGGGTGAAGTTTAAATTCACTTAGTAAGGTACTGGACCCGAGTCCCGAAGTGAACATCAACTCTGAGATTCACGTACATCCAGCTGATGATTCCCAAAAAGAACAGAACGCTTGTCCTGGATTTCACTGCTAGCCACTATCCATCTTTGCTTATGATGCTTGTGAATTAAGGCAATATCGAGGGAATACACACAGTATGCACATATGCCAATAAGAGACTGACCAGTTGCAGTCCTTAATATCAATGTGAAGATTCAAACAAACAATACTAAATGAATTTAATAATAATAATAAAACTCACTTTTTCTAACAGTACTAAAAGATTTTTAGATACTATATCACCTATAATCATTTTTTCAACTTTGATATCATATAAATTAATATCATGTAAATATAATCCAAAATCAATAAAAGATTTAGTTTCTGAAAAACTAAAAAATAAATAAAATAAGTTAAAATTATAATTATTTTGATTAATTTATTATTTTAATTTTACATAGTTGAGATTATGAGTCAATTGAAGCTAGACCACCATGGAAAACCTGGAAGCACTGGACTGCCGTTTCATCCTGAGGAGTCCCACAATAGGACAAAACGGCCGTCCAGTGCTTCCACGTTTACCATGGTGGTCTAGCCTCAATTCTCTCATGATCTCAACTATATAAAATTACTAAAATCTCCAAAAAACCCTCTTCTGATATGGATTTAATTATTTTAAAAAAATAATAATAGAGATTTTATAGAGATTTTTAATAAATAACTAACTATATTGATCACATATAATTTTCGAAAATTAGTGTTCCTTAAGGAGTTTATAGTCTTTTTCAAATCATACTATTAGGACATATTTAAAAAACAACAACAACAGCAACAAAAACATGAATTGATCTTTAAAATTTCTGTTCAAATTATGAATAATAATTTTTTTTTGTTCAACACAATTAAATCATTCAACTTCCTTTAAAAAAAAACTCCTTTAATAAAAGATGGATAGTGGCTAGCAGTGGAATCCAGGAAGCGCGCTTCGTCCTATTTGAGGCTCATCAGATGGATGCACCTGCATTTCAGAGTTGACGTTCATTCTGGGACCCTAACCCAGTACCGTTCGCTTCAAACGCCATCGCATTATCCACTCAGCTACTGAGTCCTGAGAGCCAGTATGCACGTATGCCAATAAGAGACTGACCAATTGCAGTCATAAACATAAATGGGAAGATTCAAACAAGTAATACTAAGTGGATTTAACTCTTTTAATGTTTTTTTTACAATTTACTAAAATAACATCTCTATGAAACTCAGTTATGTTGCCTAGGTATCATAATTACAAGTTTAACTGTCCACATTGTTTTTATATCAAATAAAAAAAATGTTAGAAAGGGTATTGTGGATATTATAATAATTCCAATAGTTGAAATCATGAGTCATTTGGAAATCATTGCCTAGTATTTTTAATTCTGAGACAACTGCCTATTTTTCGACGATTAACATAGATCACTGTTGAATGCCTAAACCAAAGTAAATCATATTTCACCTGTTGTAGTTATGTTTGCCATGTAACTGAATGGCAATGTAATCGACGATGAATCAGTGATCATCAACAAAGTACTCATTGTTGAACGAATTCAACTCTTGTGAATATGAATTTCACTATATTTTACAAACAATTAAATTCATATGAATATCAGAATGAATTTTCCATTATTCATATTACACAGTCTTTGACAACTCCGCCTGTAGCTCTTCTAGAGTTACTGCCGGTCCCAAGCCCGGGTAAAGGAGGATGGCCATCACACAAATCAAAAGTGGGAAGGCGGCAGGACCTGACAATATACCAACAGAAGCACTGAAGTCAGACATTGAATTAACTGCAAACATGCTTCACCTTCAATTCAAGAAGATTTGGGAAGAAGAACAAGTGCCAACGGACTGGAAAGAAGGATATCTCATCAAGATACCAAAGAAAGGAGATCTGAGCCAATGTGAGAATTACAGAGGTATCGGTTTGTTATCAGTAGCAGGAAAAGTTTTCAACAGAGTGCTGCTGAATCGGATGAAAGACGCAGTAGACGCCGAACTTCGGGATCATCAGGCTGGATTCGTAAGGATCGGTTGTGCACAGACCAGATTGCGACACTACGGATCATCGTTGAACAATCAGTTGAATGGAACTCATCACTATACGTCAACTTTATTGACTATGAGAAGGCGTTTGACAGCGTGGACAGGAGAAAATTATGGAAACTTCTTCGACACTATGGAGTTCCTGAAAAGATTGTCAACATTAACCAAAACTCATACGATGGATTACAGTGCAAAGTGGTGCATGGAGGACAGCTGACAGATGCATTTCCAGTAAGGACCGGAGTCAGACAAGGCTGTCTACTCTCCCCATTCCTCTTCCTTCTAGTGATTGACTGGATTATGAAGAATTCGACATCTGAAGGGAAATACGGAATACAATGGACAGCTAAGAATCAATTAGATGATTTGGACTTCACAGATGACCTAGCCCTCCTCTCTCATACACACGACCAAATGCAAATGAAGACAGCAAATATAGCAGCAGCCTCCGCATCAATAGGCCTCCACATTCACAAAGGAAAAAGCAAGATTCTCAAATGCAACACGGAGAACACCGACCCAATCACACTTGATGGCGAAACTCTGGAAGAGGTGGAAACATTCAAGTACCTGAGGAGCATCGTTGATAAACGAGGAGGATTGGATGCAGATGTAAGGGCGAGGATTGGGAAAGCAAGGGCAGCATTTTTACAATTGCAGAACATATGGAACTCAAAACAACTCTCAACTAACTTCAAGGTCAGAATCTTTAATACGAACGTCAAGACAGTCCTACTGTATGGAGCTGAAACGTGGAGAACTACTACAGCCATCATCAGGAAGGTACAAGTATTTATAAACAGTTGTCTACGTAAAATACTCAACATCCATTGGCCGGATACTATCAGCAACAGCGTTTTATGGGAGAGGACAAACCAACTTCCAGCTGAAGAGGAAATAAGGAAAAGACGTTGGAAGTGGATCGGACATACATTAAGGAAATCACCAATGTGCATCACAAGGCGATCCCTAACTTGGAATCCGGAAGGGAAGAGGAAAAGAGGAAGGTTAAAGCATACATTACGTCGGAAAATAGAAGCAGATATGAAAAGGATGAATAGCAACTGGAAAAAATTGGAAAGGAAGGCTCAGGACAGAGTTGGATGGAGAATGCTGGTAGGCGGCTTACGCTCCTCGACGAGAGGTAACAGGCGTAAGTAAGTAAGTAAGTACAGTCTTTGAAGTGATGAATATCTCCTTTCAAATTTCTACGTATAATCTGCCTACTGATATCTAGAAGTAGTTTCATGAGTATCATCAACAACTGTTGATTTTGATTGTAAGGAATGTGAATATGTATCGTAGTTTCAACTTTGATGATAATAACAAATCAATATGAGAAAATCACTGATGAACTTAGTCTCATCGTCTTAATTAACTTACTGAAGTCTCATCTCTCTTACATGATTTCAGAGACAGTTACGTTGGACGCTCACTGTACAGAACATCATGAAGAATTGTTGTGTACAGAAATCAATCATTATTGCAACTATTTTTTTTTACATTTCACTCCTGTTCATCGGTATCTACAATTGATTGATCATTGGGTAGTGTTCAATCTTATGTATGTCAGTTCCTTCTTCGTACAGATCGAATTATATCGACCACGTTGCAATATGACCACTAGTCTAGGTGACTCGACATTGCGTGCACTATGTTGAGATGAGATAGTGTTTGTAGGTAGTCAACAGGAGTTCTTGGATCTAGGTTTTCTGCTACTCAACATATACAATAATAATAATCGAAGATTATAGACTGATATTTGCAAAAGAAACGGTCAAGATTGAGACATTTGATGGATAGTTTGCAAATTAACTGTTTACGGTATGGTTGTCAGATTTTAGTGAGATAGTCTGTAATTTTATGCTCAGATACATTTGATTGCCCCCACTCGTGTTCTCATTTACTACAGCCTAAGTACTATAACTGCAACTTTAACTATTCATATTACGTTTTAATATCAAATCAAAAAACATTTGTTGATTAGTAGTCATTATCATATATCTAAGACTAATGATTCTACATTCTGCTTATGACGGGTTATAGGTATATGCCCAAAGAAAATTTACATGACTAAATAATGAATTCGATTCATAATATCTTAGTCTACATTGAAAACACATTGAATAATAGTCATCAAGCTTATCAACAGATAAAAGAAAATGAAACCTTTGTTATATGTTATGAATAATATTACATAGAAATTATATTAACATTGAACAATTCATTTACTTTGGTTTACCAATAAAAAGTAACATTGACCATTCTTTTATATAAATCATTTGACCTTTAAGATATAATATTGATTTATGACTTTCATCTATAAGAAAAAAGAGAAATAAAATCCATCTTGATACTAATTAATTTTGAAATAGTTATAATGATTTCAATCATTGGTACTAAACAATAAATTGAAATTAATTATGTAATTTATACGAATATTCATCAAGATTAGAACGAATAGCTTGACAATAATTGGAGAAGTCATTATACGTGAAAATTATATTTGAAATAGTCTCAGCGATTGGAAATCAAATAATTCCAATATTTCGTCTAGCTAACTTGTCTGGACTTCTTCAGGGTAATAAGTAATTAAATTTCAATCGTTGAGACTAATTCAAACATAATTTTCACATATAATGAATTATGTAATTTGTTTCAAGAGATTACTAAGCTTTGATTTTCTTTAAAATACTATCTGTTTAACGTATGTATTGTCTCATAACTAAATGTACTGCATAGATAGCGATCGAAAGTAATGTTTATTTTCGTATGGTTTTTCATTTATTAGATTCAAGAGTATAGTATAGAACTTATTCTTTTCATTATGAAAATCGTATTATTATTAATTAGTATACTAATAATAACAATAATGAAAGTTTAATTCAGTAAGAGAGGGTTTTGTAGTCAAGAATGAAAATCTATTAATCACTATGGTATTTGTGTCCGAGATTTCAAGTATTTATTATTACAATAGCTCATAAGCACACATCATTACAATTCATCGTCATTTAGTTTAAACCAATCAAAAATAGGAAGGTGGATTTCAACAATTGCACAGTTAAAACGTACACTATTGAGTAACTAAATTATATATATTAATATTCCTCTCATTATAAGCTATATCCTCACCTATTGACTATTATCAAAAGGTTTACTTTCCTTAACATATTCCCAATTTATTAATTACAGTTTCTCACAATCACAATCACTTTTAAATTGGTTTTGTTCAAATGTTATTTCCTATTTTATGATATAATCTGGTCTGGTTGACTTGTCCATATAAACCAAGTGTGTCTGAAATAAATGATTCATATAGTGGAAGTTGATATTGGCATTATGGAGTCAATAGGTAGGGCTAGCCAGGAAAGGGACTAATGATGTCTCTGGTCTGCTCACACCGGTCAATATGTCATTATTGTTGCACAATGTTAAGATTGTATAAGTCGTATTCTGATTGTGTAATAAATCACGTGATGAATTAACCAGACAAGAGTCACAACAAGATCTTCGTAGACAATTCTTAGAATCAACCAACTCGTACCAGAATATGTCTGATGCGCTTTTTTTCTGATTCTAGTTACTAGTGTTTATTTATCTCCCATTCATAATAACCTTCTTATAACCGAATCTCCGAAGTTTATTCCTTGTAATGAACTCTGGGCAAGAATTCTGCAGTCAGTATATTTTTTATCTTCTAGCATTTCAAAAAGTTTGCTATTTAGTACGAAGATTTAATATCATTTCATATAATAGATACTATAATTATCTCTTATCCAGTAAAATATTGCATCACATAGTCTATCAACGTAAGAGACCATTATTATTATTATTATTATTATTATTAGTAGTAGTAGTAGTAGTAGTAGTATTACTACTACTACTACTACTACTACTACTACTACTACTAATACTACTACTACTACTACCAGAAATCCCTATATGTTTCCTAATAAAAATTAATGTATTTTGATCAGAATAAATTATTTAAACTGATTTTGCATGTTAGAAATCTTATAAAAGGCTGTTTATTTACAAAATTACACACATGTTTACTAATGATGTTGCCTGGTAAATTTTAGTCGGAAACCAATATATAACAAGTTATCAAAATAAAAATATTTATTATCACCCACTCATTTTTCTTTCGTCCATCTTTAGCCCGATTTTAAACGTAGAAGAGGAAAACATCATAATCTGTTGTTGTTTTTTTTTAAAAAATAAAGAAAATGTTGAGAAGATAAATCCGAGAAAAAATACATTTTAGTGGGATAAATTTCTGAAAATATTTCATGAGATAAAACATTCAAATGTAATTAGACTGTTTTGAACGTTGTTTCTCAAATGAATAATTTAGTGTATTATTTTAATGAATCCTTTCTTCAAGAACTGAAACATGCATTGTTACAATGTTGTTTGTATCTAAAATAAATCTGCGATATAATATTATTATTTATTTACAACAATTGATCACTTTATAGCAAAGATGGATAGTGGACAGCAGTGGAATCCAGGACACGCGTTCTGTCCTATTTGGGTCTCGTCAGCTAGATGTACCTGCATCTCAGAGTTGATATTTGAAGAGTTTGAAGCAGATGATACTGTGTTTGAGTCCCAGGGTGTACACCAACTCTGAGATGCAGGCACATCCAGCTGACGAGACCCAAATAGGACAGAACGCATGTCCTGGATTATATTGCTAGCCACTATCTACCTTCGTTTACAATGCTTCTGAATTAAGGCTATATCGAGGTAATACTCACAGTATGCACATATGCCAATAAGAGACTGATCAATTTCAGTTCTGAACATCAATGCGCAAATTCAAATAAACAATACCCAGTGAATTAGTCAGTTTTTTTTCTTCAACTTTTATTTAACTCATGGGCTTACACTTCTTTTTATGCCAAATGAATTTTTAATTTAAAGACTGATTCTACAACCTCAAAGTAAATCATAAATCAGAGTATGTAAATGATCACTCAGGTGATATGATAACTAAAAGTTTAAATAATTCATTTACTCATTTAACAGGTAAAATATGTTTATAATAATGACGTGAAAGTAGATTCGCTATTTAAACATTTGATTAGGCAGGACAGTTAAAATTCTCCTGATAATTTATTAAAAATTGTATTCCTGTGTTTGTTATTAGAGAGCTTTTATTTGTCTTGTTAGCACTGTCAAAATTACTAGAAATATATCTTTATAAATTCGGGTATTTATCTTCTAAAAACATTTAGAAATTCTTTAAATGTCAATTATACATACTGCTTGTACAACATATCTTACTGTAAGTCCAGGTGAATCTTATTGTGATACATTTTTCAGGTGTATATTTACTAACTTTTGATAGATTAATTTAAAGACATATTCCTCTGAAATAAAATATCGTAGAAGACATTGACTAAAAAATGTAGTTAAATACGATCTATGAAAGCTGTATAAATTTTTAGTTTACTCCAGAGTGATAGCATTAGAACGTTTGTCAATAAGACCACTGTCTTCACTACAAATAAACAAATTAAGTATGAAGATTGTTTTTAAAAAAAATGTTTTATTATATATCTGTTGTATCCCGAAGAGAATTGTGAATGGTAACTTTTGGGGACTATTTATGGACCAATATAATGTGTATATTTCCTATTGTATAATTGTTAAGTAACTAACCTAATCGTATTCGTGTTCCTCTTATCATTAGCTTTATTTTGACCTTTGAACTATTATTATACAATTCTTGAGTTATCATCAGTCTATTGACTACTTTCCCCTATTCGCAGCCACATTTGGACAAATATTGTACAAATGTTATTTTCTATTTTATGGCACGATGTGGTCTGTTTTGTTGGTATATAAACCCAGTATGCTTGTGAACAATGATTCATATTGCAGAGGCTTTTATTGGTGTTCTGGACTTAACTGGCTGGGCTAGGCAGATAGCAGGACCGAATAGTGCTCAAGACTGCTCATACCGTGTTTTGTGTATCACTGGGTGATCGATAATTCGCTCTTCTCTGATTTGTGGGGATCAGCAAGTTCATATATCAAATAAGGCACACGCACGCACCCACACGTTATAACAATATCTTACCCGATCAAATAAGGGTTTCATAATTGGCAACATGATGACAAAATGTTCTTGAAACATTGTATTAATTAGAGTTGGCTGAAATTCTAATAATCGTTGTCCAGCACTTTGTATAATCAAATTCTTATCGATTAACAAATGGAATGGTAATAATCCAAAAAAATTTTCACTTGAAATTTTCGTTAACATATTCATTGTACCTAATCCAGTTTTTATCATACAAATCTCACTTTCTTTAAAACTTTCACCAATACATAGTTCTAATGTGAATACAGTTCGATATATTGGACCTTCATGTGATTCTGAATTAATTTTGATAACTAAATGTAGTTGATAAATGTATTTAGCTACTTCAAATAATAGTCCTCTTGTATAATGATTATAACCGGGTCGTTTTGTTGTATATTCCAACACTATACAACTTGGTGTACTGGATAATATGACAAATGACGGTGGTTTAATACGATGATAACTATAACGTAAATATTTATGATGATCATTTAAGCTTAATAATAAATCTTTGAATGTTTTACCAAGTACACGAAGTAGTTTTTCAAAGCCGTTTTTAATTAAATATTGTATGGTATAACGTCCAATTTCAAAAAGAATTATATCTTTATCTGTGAATATTCTATCACTCAATATTGTAGCAATTCTTGCCATCAGGTTATCATGGTATATTTTTCTAGTTTCAATATCGAATTCTTTACCAGTCGATTTTTTACATAGCCATATCCATGTATTTTCACCATAATTGTCTAAAATATAGTGTTTGGCAGCTTCCAATAATATACCATACATAATCTGTTAAAAATAACTAATACTGAATAGAAGAAATCGGAAAGAAAATATTCTCTAAATACAGTTAGCACATGATATTTATTTATGACTGTAAAGTGTTTCCATTGGTTCATATAATATTTACAAGCTTTTGCTACTTAGATAGATAATTTACAAGATATATCAAGCTCATTAAATTCATTCTTTTTGGAGGACTTCTAATTACGTTGTAGATGATTTTGAACGCAGAGTCTGTCTTGATTGAGTGACATATATTCACAAGGTGTTCGATTATTGAACGACCTACATACCGAGATCCACATGAGCAGGTTAATTGATAAATGCAAATTAAATTGGTCAGATGCGATAATTTATCTTTAAGATTATTGGTGATCAGTGATCGGCTGGAGAATACTATTTGTAATGTTGCTGCGAAAAATGTTCTTTGTAAAGAATCAGAAATTCTCCTCTTTAAGATTTATGTGACTCTGTCACTCTTGAATTCAATGTTCATGTATAATGTTTTCTCTTCTATTGTAATTATTTGTGCTTTCTGAGTTTTCGGTTTTATGTTCTTATCAATGAATGTCGCAGGATACCCGTTTTTGATAAGTATCGCCTTCAAGATGCCCGATTATTCCTCTGTGACTTCGGGACTACAGATTCTTCGTATTCTCGTAGGGACATCTTTATCATTTGTGACAACAAATATGACTTGAGTCATCTTCTAAAGACATTTTATAATTGCCACTCAGCAATAAAATTCACACTAGAAGTTGAAAACGAACAAACTATTCACTTCATTCAGTTATTGATTAGTACACATTCAATAGTGACAAGTGATTTTATTCCCCGACTTCCCATATCATTTATACATAGAATATACAAAATTCTGATAAGATATTCCTATAAATCTTCCAACTAAACACTTTACAGCATATTGTTCTAAACAAATCGAAGGCAACTATGGTTTAAAAGTATAGTAGTTACATTAAATCGCTGGGTTGATTATTTGCCAACTGTTCGAATGTCTAAATAATTTTGTCGCTTTTTTCTTAACTAACCACGTTATTCATTCAGGCTTTACATAAATGTTTACAATTTATCATTTTACTTACATTGCAAAACACAAGCGAAAATACGGCATTGATTAGTTATTTTCCCTATGTATATAAAGTCCTAAAAAGGTACTCAACGATCAATTGTGTAGCATGGAGAATATAGTATGCATGAAGTTATGAGGTTAGGACTAGCCTAAAACCATTACAGTTGAAGGTGGCTATCTACCAAGCATTCAAAATGTAGTATTGTATAAAGCTATTTTTAACAACACAGATTGTACCGTCCAAAAACATCTGTGCAGAATAGTTCATTAAATTTGTTTACTAATTGAATGAAACCCTTAAGATACAACAGAAAATCGCGTTTTGAGTAAAAGCAATAAACGACAGAATTCACTAACGCTTCATCGGTCTTATGTCATCAAAGACACAATATCTTCTTATTTGAAGTTACTCTAATAAACTGTTTGAACCACTTAAAACATTTCTGTCAACCCTCTAAATCAAAACTTTGCTTGCATCTGAAAAAAGCACTCTCTATAGGTCTTCTCTTCCAAACGCATTCTGATATTTAGAAATGATTGACCACTGGGTAGTGACCAATATCATGTACATCACCGCTTACTTAATGAAGATCGAATGTTATCGACCAGTTGTAAATACATCTTAGTTCAACAGGAAGTCAGCCGCCACCCGAATAGCACAGTGGTAACGTCTATGATTGTGAAGCTGGATGACACGGATTGAGTTCATCAGCGAGTATCAGTTTATACAAGGTTACTGGTACATCCCTCTGATGAGTACTAAATAACACGAAAGCTGAGTCCAGCGATGCATGTTACCTACATCCAACCATCACCTTACATTAAGATATCTACAAAGGACATAAGAATGTTTCAGAACTTCTGGTCTGTCAGTTTGATAATAACCAAAATTAAAACGGTAAAGACTGTAATTAAATTGTTCATACAATGAAATCACCTTTTAAGAGAGTACCGACTGACTTTCTATCTAGTTCGCAGATGTTTTAACAGATTTTATAGTTAACTCCGTTAGTAATTTAAACCTGGTCCCAAAGCCGGAAAAAGGAGGAAGGTTGAGTATACGGTCACCAACCCCATCCCTTAGAAAACAATCTTGCCAAAAAATGTTAACCAGATTAGACAAATTAAATCAATTAAAACCTGCTTTCCGAAATAAAAGGTCTTCATTCAAAAGAATTATGATACCTCATGATGAAAGCTGAGATTCTTCGGAAGTCATAAGGCCCCTACCACTTCTAACAAAAAGAGCAACAATCAGTACACGTACATGGAATGTCTGGATAATGTCGAAGACCAAAAGGACCAGTCAACACAGTCACGGAAGTGGGGAGACACACAGGAATCCGCAAAACACATTGGACACAAACTGGACAGAAAAGGTTAGGTACGGGAGAGATGCTGCTGTACTCCGTGCACAAAAGGGGAAATGCTCCACACACTCATGGAGTTGCTTTGAAGCTGTCCAAAAAGGCACATAAGACACTTTTATGATGGGAATCTTATGGATCCACAATCATCAAAACATCATTCGAAATAAAGGTGGGAATCACAATGAAAGTTATTCAGTGTCATGCACCCACCAATTATAGTACTGACGACGTTAAATATTAGTCTTATGGGAGACTGCAGTCCATCGCATCGAAATACTCAGGAAAGGACTTGACCACAATCTTCCCTCGTATTAGCATACACAAAGCTACATGGGTCTCACCACATCACACCACAGAAAACCAGAACGACAATATTTGCATCACTAAAACATTCAGAAGGTCAATGGAAGATATCAGGACCAAGAGAAGAGTTAGCATAGCTAAAGATCATCACCGAATGGTAGTTGCCAAGATGAAACTGTAGCTAAAGAAGCGATGGATAACTGGTCCAAATACTGTCTTCCTTCCAGTTACTGACAAACTCAATGAATTCAAGATAAATCTCAACAAAACGTTCCAAGGATTGTGAGATCTACTGGAAGAAGAGAGAACAACTATGGAGGACAACTGGAAACGGATTAAGGGAAAAGTAACTTTAACGTGTCAGTAGGATCTGGTCCTATGTGCCACAGATTGATCATATGCTGTTCAGAACAGTTTACCAAATATCATATTCTATTTAAAATTTAGTTTACTTTTTTAGCAAACAGTAGTATATCGTGTGCTGCAAGAAATATACAAATTTAGTTTTTCATAACCTTCTATAGTCTTTTTGTAAGAATAGAAAAAAGTTGATTCGTAGATTTCTGCTTTTATCAATGTTCTGTTAATATGGAAGTTCCCTATATGAAGTAGATCCTTTTCATAGTGTCCAGCACAATAATCATCTCGATAAAACTGTAGTGAACAAGAACACTAGTGGGGACAATCGAATGTATTTTAGCAAACATTACAAAATATTTCATTAAAATAAGAGAACCATATAGTGAACAGTTAATTTGCAAAATAACAATCAACTGACTCAATTTGAATGTTTCTTCTGCAAATACCTGTTCATAGTCCCCGATTATAATTTTTCATGCATTTCCGTACCAATTGCGTGCCGTTCGCGTTCTCTCTTTATCGATCTTCTACTGAAATGCATTCAATGCCCGACCATCACCATATACTACTTATGTGGACATCAGTAACTGACACCACAAGACTATTAAACTCAGACAATATAACACTAACTAAAAACAAAATCATCTTCATAAACCATCATATTAAATGAAGAAAGTGAATTATCTTTTCTAATTTTACTTTAAAAAAAGATGCCTAGATATACTAAGTAACCATTAATTTCAAAATGAATTACTATCAAGTGTAAATCAACTTTTACTAATTTGACTGAATTGAAAATATAATATAGTGATCAGATTAAAAAAAGTAAATAATAATAATAGCAATATTAAGATCTTTGAAAACTTTACACCTTAACTTCAACAAAAATAATAATAATTAATTAATGAAAAATAACTAAAATAAAAAAATCTCTTATCTTACTTATAATTCTGTATAAGTAGTCTACTAATAATACAACTTCATTATTTGTGAAAAATACATTTAGAATTTAAAAGAAAAAAGAAAGAAAAAACAATTATAGGGAAGAAATATTAAAAAAGAAAACAAAAAGAAGAGAAATATTATTTGATAGAAACTAAAGGATAGCAAAATAATTCCCAAATAATCAAAAATAAATAAAATAGAGATTAGATTAGTGATAATTGTGAAACTATGAGATTGTAAAAAAACAAAATCAAGATGTTTTTTTATAAATGCATTAATCGAAAAATTGTGTATCATTATTATCACTATGGTTAGTATCTAAGATGTATAATAAAAGGAAATAAAATATAAAATGTATATTATAAAGAAAGTCAAAAAAGAATCTTATTTATATAGTTGAAAGAGTGAGTAAATTGAAGCTAGACCACCAAGGAAAACCTGGAAGCACTGAACGGCTGTTTCGTCCTATTATGGACTCCTTAGCAGTGCACATCCACGACCTCACCTCGTGTGATTCGAACCCAGGACCTACCAGTCTCGCGTCAGAGCACTTAACCGATAGACCACTGAACCGGCATCCCATGGTGTCAATGTCTAACTTCAACCAACCCACGAAGTTGTTAAATAAAAATTATTGTTTAATTTAGAAGATACTACTTTAAAAAAAGAGAGAGATAAAATTTCTATAGTTTAATTAAATCTGATAATTATTCATTAAATTATCAAATTATTCATCATATTTGGTTGACATTAAAAAAAAACGTTTACTGGTGAAATAATGGATCTTAAGTGTTTTGAATGTGTCTTTCTGTTATATCCTAGTGAAGATTAAACTATAGGTAACTTCTGAGAGCTATTAATGGACTAATATTATATATATATATATATATATATATATATATTCCTATTCAATAACTGTCTAGTAACTAGATTATGTATATCTATATTACTCTTATTATAAGCTTCAGTTTGATCTATACATTATTATTATACGATTTACTGTTCTTAAGTTATGTTCAGTTTATTGGTCACAGTCTCCCATGTTGA